TTTCGTATGTATTTCTGACGGTTTTAGATCTACCTGCTTGATTTATATCTGCTACGCTCCATATTGACAAGTCCCTCAAAATGGCGGCTAAACTTGGAAATTGCCGAAAATTAGGTAAGTTCACGGAGTTATAAAGTTTTCGTAAAGGTCGAGCCGCAAAGTTTTTTTCTGTAGTTACCTTTTCTATAGTACCTACTTCCTAGCTATGTTAGTTGGATCAGTTAAGAGCGCCTCACTTTTTCAAAAATTTACATTGAATTTGATCGGTTTTGGCATGTGTGACTTAAACGAACGGATAAGGTGTCATTCAAGTCTTCCTGTTTCCTTGATTGAAACGTGATGTTCACGAAAGTCACCTCGATGAATAAGATAGAGTTAATGTACATGGCTTTGGTATTTATTTTTTGCTAAGCTCCGTAGTTTTTTGTAAATTGTCCTTCAAAGTTGTCATAAATTAAAGTCTTGAAAAGTGTCACGACAAGCCTTCGCTCGAGTGAAATTTAATTTCCGTAAAACTCTGAAAGATAAAGAGATCCGATCAAACGGATTGTGGTTTTAGTATAGGTACATGAATGTCTTACAACACACAAGAAATGAGCGAAATCCGTGTCTCAAGCAGAATCGACCGGACCGCTCTTACAGAGACACTCTCTTAAACACGCAGTTGGGGTCATTAGATATCTTAATTGGCATCTTCCTGAATAGATTATGTATGAACTCAAGGGTTCACTCCATTGCTATAAATGTATTTCGTCCTTGTTGAAGTCTACAACCATAGTGCTTGTGCCAAATAACAAATTGTTATTCCTCGTCTGTTATTTATAAAGCAGAAACCATTGGAAAAGATGCGCAAAACACTTCTCGACTCGGCTATTTATCTTAAAAATCTGCCAACGATGAATGTCTCACTTGAAAGGAAACATGAACAAACTTGTTGATTAAAAAATTGTAGACCCCATTCGCAACATTAAGCATCCAATAATATTGATAAGTGGGTCTTAAGAATTATTCTACCCACTGAGAATTATGACATAATGGATCCTTAAACATTGCTTTCGACTTGTATTTTTGAATAGTGACTACAGGAGAGCGCTAAGAAATAAACTTAGAGCTGTGCAAAGTTTCGTCAATCCTGAATTAATTTTTTTCCGTGTTCGGGGGCTACATCGATTTAAAAAAAGTTAATTTTACTACGTGCCAGAAAGAAATCGCGTCTGAGTAAAAAATCAGATACATTCTTTAGCCTGACTATGATAGACACTTGTACCCATACGCTTTCTTGCAATAGAGATGTGTCACCTACCTAGTTACGAAGAAATATTATTCTTGACTCTGAGGTTAAACAGATTCGTCTCAGCACATGTAGAACCCTGCAAGTGCAAAATAATAATAATGAAAAAAATAGGACTTGTCAATTTATGTAATGTTGGATCTGTGATTTGATTGGCTTAAAGCTTGTGACTGATGGCGAATTTTTGCCATACTCTGTGATCCTATTGGTTAGGACGGTTTAGATTGACATTCGGCCTATAGAACAAGGTGCGTCAAACAGTTGCCAATTCAAGTCAAATTTAGATTTTCCGCATATTCTCTGTGTATTTTTATAAGCTGTTCTAACCGAATATTGCCTAAGGAATGAAACGGAAAAAGTGTTATGAGTGAGTGATGCGTTGACCCCTCCACTTAGAAGAATGGCTCTTTTTTTTGGTAATCAAAACTGAACAAATAGTAAATACAACTGAAGCATTTATGCACTAAATCCTTAGTTCCTAAAAGAAAAAGATGTTGACATATTGTCTTAAGCGTGGGATTAGTCCCACAATGCGATAGACGTTTAAAACATCTCTTAATTCGACGCGCGAGCGCAAAATTTACCATCTTTCTTCCAAATTTTTTCTCTATATCCGACGCTTTCGACCGCATCACGTAAAAAAGGCCAAGCAAATTGTCGTGTACTCCACAGCTAGCTTGGTAGTGGTGCATCAGAGTGCGAGATCCTAACATTTGAAGTTCGGATTCGCCTGGTAACTTACATGCATAGAGTCTCTGTAGCTTAATGGAAGAGCATCGGAGCCCGATAATCGAAGATCTGTCAGAGGTTCGATTCCTCATAGGAATGAGTTTAAAGACGAAAAAAAATTTCTCTGTTTTACTCCTTGTCTCACGATCATGACAAATAATTGTTAAAATCTCTCTTTATTTGATGACCAGACGGACGAGAAACTAGGCTATATCCTCTTTCCTCTTTTTGTGTTATAGCATTTGAAGGAGTAAAACCGAACTGAATGAATCCTGAGTAACGAGGTTGTTTATCACTAAAATGTGGACTGCACGCACAAAGAGCACTTGGGTATCATTAAAAGTCCACCCTAATTTGTACGGGTTCCGAAGAGAGTAGATTGTTGTCAAATTGGCTGAAACTGCCTTCTTTGCTTCTAAATTTAGATGATCTTTGACGTTTTTAAGATCGGGTGTGCGATTATTGAAAAGATAAATTATTTTATTTAAATTTTAAACTCATCTATTTTGCATTCGTTAGCATTTTTCAATATATCCATAATATTTCAGCTGGAAAGCCTTCTTCAAGAAGCGCTATAAATCATGTATAATGTGTTTTTTCTACCTGACTTTACATAAATGGGACTGGAGTAGAAATAAGTTCTCTAAAAAGTTGTGTTTGCATTTAAACCTAAACGAAATTTTCGATCATGTTGACACTAAAAGCAAACACTGTCTTTGTGTTTACAGCCGGCTGCCTTGAAACAACTGTTGATATTTTTTAAGACAAAAATTCCCTCACGCTAATGTGCTAGCAAACATTTATCATTTATTGTAAAATTCTAGGAATCGTTTGATCATTCGATCTACTTTAAATATTTGTGCATGAATCACCGAGAAAGATATGCCAACGCAATAATTACATGGAATGAATCTCAAACAGGGAATGGAATTGCGTAAACCAACATGAGAAGACACAAGTGCTTTGCACTGTAAGTATTAAGCCCGCTGGGCTCGTCTTTTTCAGGTGTGATAATCCCGAAGTTAATTTGATTTAATCTCATTAAATATGTCATGGGCCGACTAGCTTAAATTATCAACACTCTCGAGTTAGCAGCTGGATAATGTTACTATTTCGATATTCGAATGTCATGGTTTTTGCCCGCCTATCTTTTGTTTGCAGTTTCGTATTTCAAACGTGTGATTCAGTAGCAGTAGAGATGGCACCTAGGAAGGGTTTTTCGCCCTTCACTCCGGTCATCAGCCCTGAATTAAGTCCACAATTGACTTGGTTCATTCTAAGTTCGAAAGTTTGTGGATCCAATACTTTAAGCGGTCGCCTGTTGTCGCCAGTTTTCCAAGCGATTTTCAAAGAATCGACAGTGCCCACATTCGGCTGCTAGATCGCTACCATTACTCGAACAAGAAGTCCTCTAATGCAACGGAAATTGTCTGTTCCTCGTTTGGGTTGATAACCACTCTGCTTCGCCGTTCCTCTTCAGAAAGCTCTGAGTTCATTTCGCAGCTGAGAGATTTGCTGAACTCAGTAGATCTCAGTAAAATGTCTATCGACGAAGAAAATGAAGGCCAAGCAAACAAAGAACGACCACGTGCTTCACGATGCTTTGAAATGCCAACGACACCAACGAACAAGACATCATCTGTGGCCATGACACCCCCAAACAGTGGAAACTCGCAAAGAGCTGAAAAAAAGAATGTTTCCCCAAATCTAAAGGAGATCAGCGAAAAGGAAGATTTGGATACTCCAGAAAAGGTGCTGTTGATGAAGCGATGAAGCAGCGAAGCAGTCGCGTCATCAAGGACGTGCATGACGTGTGCGAAAGAAACAGGGTAAGTTTGGCGATGGTGCTTTCGAACATGTGCGCATTTGGCGACCCAGAAGCGAAGGCCATCGTCAATGAAATTGTCGAAGAGATGGCTGTAAAAAGGGGAGTAAAGAGGAGTGTGGAAGAGCTAGTTGGCGACGACACAATGTCGAAGTACGTGGCGTGCCTGAGAGTTCCTGATTGGAAGCTTGTCCTTTTCCAGGCGATGGCGAGAGTTTCTTCAAAAACGTGGCAATCCGTGATAAACATCACAGGGCTCAGAAGGACGGGGGTAAGATGTTTAGTTACGTTGGTCTTACGTCGGTATATTAATATTCATACTTGGCGCCCTGGCTAAGGGAATAAAAGAACAAAAAAAGAACTATTCCATCGCGAGCCTCAATGTTTATAGCAGCTCTTTCTTTTGTTTTATTCAGTTATTCTCGTAAGCGAAGCCTAGTACAGGAAAAGATAAGCAGGCTTTTTTTTATTACTTAAGCGGGCGTTTTACTCAACTGCGTCTTCAAAATTACCCTATGTCTGTTTTCCAGAGCAATTTTAGCCAGTGGTAAGCTCTTTTTCAGCTGGTGAAATATGCTGGAAGCCGGCTCTTAGTGACAAACCCTGGACCATTAATATAGAAGGTCATCACCCTACTTCCTATTAATATTCCATGACATCAAGTGTAAATTTAAAATATAATCTTTAAAGTTTTTTCCCATGAAATTCTGTTGATAGATGCTGTTTGAACTGGTAGAGCTTTATTCATCAAGAACTCAAAAATATATATGAGGAAAATAAGCGGTGCTTTAACGGTAAAAGCAGTACTTTAACTCATTTTTCAAATTTGAAGAACGTAGGGCTGGCAAAGTGATAAAAGTTTCTCATAAAATGGTCACAACGACCCTTGCTGACTGTAGCAATGTTATTGTTACAGGTCAAAATTATGTTCAAGGGAAGATTTTTTAACCTACAGAGGTTGATTCTCTGTTTCCTTTGTTTCCTAGGACTAGTAGGAGACAAAGGAAACAAAGAATCAACCTAGATTAAAAAGTTTAATCTTTGCTTTTTATCACCTTGCTTTCTATTATTTTCTTAGAAATCCTCTCACACGCCTCTCCTCCTCAACTTAAACCAGATCAAGGCAGCTAAGAAGAAGGGGCTTGTAAGGAGTATATGGGGGTTAAGAAGGTGGCTTCTCCTATACAAGGTTTCTCTGTGAATTTGAGTTCTGTTGTGGAGTTAATCTTAAGGGAACAAAGGCTGCACCAGCTGTCTTCACATGCTTTGCGACTGATGATGAAGCTTGATGGGAGACCATTTTGGGGTAAAATTATGTGATAATACATGCTGTCTCTGCAGTTTTGTCTGTAAATTATTTTATTATTATTGTTATAAAAGGTCATTCCCCACGTATGATAATCATCCACATATTTTTTTTGTGTGTGTGTGTTGTACTTCCAAATCAAAATAACTATAACTGTTAAATTTTTTTGGCCTTGCAAGCAGTTCTTTGTATGGAAGGTGGTCATTATAATAATGTGTAAGGTGAAATGGGTTGGTGAAGGGTGCAGTTTTTGTCTTGACTAATTTTGTGTAAAAAATTGTTTTGCAGGTAGAGCTCAGGTGTTGTTTGGAATTGTTCTCCGTGATGGTGCTGTATATAGCCAGCAAAGTGCAAAATCAGTCTACCCATTGACAATTGCCAACTGTAAAGAAGACAGGTTTGTGAATTGCAACTTGCCTGAACTCTTTACTTCCTTCTGGCTAGAATATGCTTGTGGTTGTATGTGCATTTAACTTAAATAACACAATGACAGATTTTTGTAAGCCCCACTCAGTTGCAATATCACCAGGTCATGCATCCACTCTGAGATCTAAGTGGATTGATATCAATATCCCTAATTTGGCTTTAATGCACTAAATATAACAATGACTGTATAGATTTTTGGTTTTTATTTGTTGACAGAGACAACCTCAAGATTCATCTTGAGGACATCAACCACCAGAAGAAAATATTAAAGGAAAAAGGAATGATAGTTGATGGTAGACATTACACCGTTGAATTTCTGGGTAAGAATCAATGTTAGTCTTTGAATTTTCTTTAAAAGTCAACTTCTTGTTCATGATACTATTTATAGCAATTTATTGTGTTTCTGCCCAGTTGGTAGTCTGACTAGAACTAGATTGAAGCAGTAGTCAAACTATAGTAAATTAAGAGTTTTTTTTATATTGTAAAACATGTTCAAGGTTTAACTGCAGCAGCAAGAAATAAAACCTGGAATTTATTACTATTTTACGTCAGAAATTGATTTGACTACCCTTTTCTTTAGATACATTAGAGATTAATTTCCTGGAAAGTTTAGCATGTTAACTTTTGCTTTCCCATTTCTGTTATCAAACTTAGTTGTACTGGACTACAAGACCTTGGTACTTCTTTTGGTGAAGAAGACGAATGCTTCATTCATGTTAGGTGGTAGAGGTGTCAGTGTCGAGTTCTGTTTCATCTGCAATGCTATCAGGGTAAAGTACTCAAATGATATAGAAATTAGTATGGGGCAACTGCAACTTGTGCTGTTAAAGTTGAGGTACATAAAAGTGCTGCATCAGTTCATCAACTTTTTTTACAGTGATTTCAGATGACTTTGACCTTTGCCAATATTTGGGAAAATAATTAGTGAGTGATGGAAACATCAAGTAGCTTTAATTCAGTCAAAAAAAGTTGTAAAGTACTTCTCTAAAGGTCATTCTGCTTTAAAACATTTAAAATCACTGAAAGTATGAATACATGTACTGTAAAAAGAACAGGGCTCACACAGAGTCATAAATTCTTGGAAAAGTCTAGATTTTCCAGACCTGGAAATAGTCTTGAAATTGATGATAATGTCTAGAAAAATAGTTCAAGTCTGGAGTTTTTTTATAGCTACATAAAGTGCTTAATAAGTTCATTTTTTTCCCCTGTGGTCAATTCAATCTCGCCTGTAGCTAAGACATTCAATCACAGAATGAGAAGTTTCACAATTGCACCATGGTTATTGTACATTTGCAGTGCATCATGAAAGAAGCTTGGTTTCTGCATTTTTCAAGATCTCTATTGATCACCTATTTGACCATCTTCAGTCTGGAAAAATAAATTGATGTTTTGGAAAAAGGGTCTGGGAAAAGTCTTGAATTTTGGATCCAAAAATCTGCATGAACTCTGAAGAAGATAATCGGAAGCATGATAAATGTGTAGTTCTATCTGAAATTATAATATTATATATTATTTGATAGTGTGCCTATTTTTGTCAGGGTTGCAAATGCCATGATGTTGCTCCAGATGAGACATGCCTGGATTGCCTCAGAAGTAAATGCAACATAGGAAGGTGTGTAGGCATTTGATCATTGTCATATTAAATTATATTCAAACACATAAAGGGGATTTTCTTACTGTTACATAACAAAATGAATTTTGTAAGCCATGGGGAAATGACTTGTACTAAAGCATGAACTGAAATTAAGTGTATAGTTTGGTTTTTTTTTTTTTTTAATTGTTGCTAGTAAACTAAAATCCTCATTCAGGATCTTTTGCCAAACTTGGAAGGTTGCCAAAAATTGTTTTCATACTGTCAGGAGAGGAGTACTCATAGTTTGGTAATTGAAAAAGAAAAAGAAAAACATTTTTAGAGAAAAACATGAAATAATTCATTGCTTCAGAAAATCAATCATTCTTTGAAATTGTCTTGTAGATCAACTGGTATACGAGATGATCTGGTTTTTCTTTTGGATGAAGAGCTTTGCAACATTCAACTTTGTGCTCTCCATATGGAGATGCTCAACACTGAACAGTTGTTGGCATCCATTGGTCTTCTTGCATACAGGGTAGATTCCCTAGCAGAGGCCAATGCTGCCTTGAAAAACTATGGCCCAGAGTCATTTCATGGCGATTGCATCTCAGTAAAGAAGAAGTCAGATCAACAGTCGGCTATTACAAAGCAGAATATCCATGTCAGTTCAATGTCTGGTAAGACATTTCCTAAAATAATGTTTTCAAGAGATGTTTTCCATAGGTCTTAGGTAAAGTCTTTTTTTTTTTCTGTTTTAATTTGCTCTCATGCTGTTGTGTTTCAGGTCCAACAGAACAGGAAATCCGTCAGCACCTTCAAAAAATTGTAGAACTTGCCCTACCACTGGATAAATTCAAGAAGCCGTATGAAGATGTGAACACGGCAAAAACTTTGATCCTTAACAGAGTTACATTTTACCAGGCTCGTGTTGATGTTGATGCAACTATTATTTTTATACTTGCAACTTGATTTAACATCATGTAGTCAAGTTCACTGGTAATGTGTATTCATTGAGTTTATACAGCATCCAGACGATCCGTCAGAGTGCACTTTAGGAATCAAATACCTCTGTGAGTATTTCTTTAATTGCTACAGTCTCCTACGTAATTTGCCCATCTTATGACTAATTCCATCACACAGCAGCTTGAAATTAATGGAGCTCCATTAACTGAAAGCTACTGCATATAGGAATATAGGTGAGCTCAGGATTGAAGTGTGAACCATTGTTTAATTTTAGCATGTCTGATTCTGTTAGTTAACACACCTTAAAGTGTAGAGTAACACAGAATTTTCTATAGTTAGAGATCCATAGGTGCAGTGTAACCCAGTGTTTAATTTAGTTCAAGGTAACTAACATAGGCTGCACTTTAGGTGGTAAACCCATGGGTGCAGTGTAACCCAGTATTAAATTTAGTTAAAGGTAACTAACATAGGCTGCACTTTAGGTGGCACACCCATGGGTGCAGTGTAACCCAGTGTCTTATTTAGTTAAAGGTAACTAACATAGGCTGCACTTTGGGTGGCACACCCATGGGTGCAATGTAACCCAGTCTCTCATTTAGTGAAAGGTAACTAACATAGACTGCACTTTAGGTGGCACACCCATGGGTGCAGTGTAACCCAGTGTCTTATTTAGTTAAAGGTAACTAACATAGGCTGCACTTTAGGTGGCACACCCATGGGTGCAGTGTAACCCATTGTTTTCTTTAGTTAAAGGAAACTTACTTTGGCTGCATTTAGGTGGTACACCCATAGGTGCAGTGTAACGCAGTGTTTTCTTTAGTTCACGGTAACTAACATAGGCTGCATTTTAGGTGGCACACCCATGGGTGCAGTGTAACCCAGTGTTTTATTTAGTTAAAGGTAACTACTGTAGGCTGCACTTTAGGTGGCACACCCATAGGTGCAGTGTAACCCAGTGTTTTCTTTAGTAAACGGTAACTAACATAGGCTGCACTTTAGGAGGCACACCCATGGGTGCAGTGTAACCTAGTGTTTTCTTTAGTAAACGGTAATTAACATAGACTGTACTTTAGGTGGCATACCTATAGGTGCAGTGTAACCTAGTGTTTTATTTAGTTAAAGGTAATTAACATAGGCTGCACTTTAGGTGGCACACCCATGGGTGCAGTGTAACCCAGTGTTTTCTTTAGTAAACGGTAACTAACATAGGCTGCACTTTAGGTGGCACACCCATAGGTGCAGTGTAACCCAGTGTTTTCTTTAGTAAACGGTAACTAACATAGGCTGCTCTTTAGGTGGCACACCCATGGGTGCAGTGTAACCTAGTGTTTTATTTAGTAAAAGGTAATTAACATAGACTGTACTTTTTGGGTGGCATACCTATAGGTGCAGTGTAACCTAGTGTTTTATTTAGTTAAAGGTAATTAACATAGGCTGCACTTTAGGTGGCACACCCATGGGTGCAGTGTAGCCCAGTGTTGTATTTAGTAAAGGTAACTAACATAGGCTGCACTTTAGGTGGCACACCCATGGGTGCAGTGTAACCCAGTGTTTTATTTAGTTAAAGGTAACTACTGTAGGCTGCACTTTAGGTGGCACACCCATAGGTACAGTGTAACCCAGTGTTTTCTTTAGTAAACGGTAACTAACATAGGCTGCACTTTAGGTGGCACACCCATGGGTGCAGTGTAACCTAGTGTTTTATTTAGTTAAAGGTAATTAACATAGGCTGCACTTTAGGTGGCACACCCATGGGTGCAGTGTAACCCATTGTTTTCTTTAGTTAAAGGAAACTTACTTTGGCTGCATTTAGGTGGTACACCCATAGGTGCAGTGTAACCCAGTGTTTTCTTTAGTTCACGGTAACTAACATAGGCTGCAATTAAGGTGGCACACCCATGGGTGCAGTGTAACCCAGTGTTTTATTTAGTTAAAGGTAACTACTGTAGGCTGCACTTTAGGTGGCACACCCATAGGTGCAGTGTAACCCAGTGTTTTCTTTAGTAAACGGTAACTAACATAGGCTGCACTTTAGGTGGCACATCCATGGGTGCAGTGTAACCCAGTGTTTTATTTAGTTAAAGGTAACTACTGTAGGCTGCACTTTAGGTGGCACACCCATAGGTGCAGTGTAACCCAGTGTTTTCTTTAGTAAACGGTAACTAACATAGGCTGCACTTTAGGTGGCACACCCATGGGTGCAGTGTAACCTAGTGTTTTATTTAGTTAAAGGTAATTAACATAGGCTGCACTTTAGGTGGCACACCCATAGGTGCAGTGTAACCCAGTGTTTTTTTAGTAAACGGTAACTGACATAGGCTGCACTTTAGGTGGCACACCCATAGGTGCAGTGTAACCCAGTGTTTTCTTTAGTAAACGGTAACTAACATAGGCTGCACTTTAGGTGGCACACCCATAGGTGCAGTGTAACCCAGTGTTTTTCTTTAGTACACGGTAACTAACATAGGCTGCTCTTTAGGTGGCACACCCATGGGTGCAGTGTAACCTAGTGTTTTATTTAGTAAAAGGTAATTAACATAGACTGTACTTTAGGTGGCATACCTATAGGTGCAGTGTAACCTAGTGTTTTATTTAGTTAAAGGTAATTAACATAGGCTGCACTTTAGGTGGCACACCCATGGGTGCAGTGTAGCCCAGTGTTGTATTTAGTAAAGGTAACTAACATAGGCTGCACTTTAGGTGGCACACCCATGGGTGCAGTGTAACCCAGTGTTTTATTTAGTTAAAGGTAACTACTGTAGGCTGCACTTTAGGTGGCACACCCATAGGTACAGTGTAACCCAGTGTTTTTTTTTAGTAAACGGTAACTAACATAGGCTGCTCTTTAGGTGGCACACCCATGGGTGCAGTGTAACCTAGTGTTTTATTTAGTTAAAGGTAATTAACATAGGCTGCACTTTGGGTGGCACACCCATGGGTGCAGTGTAACCCAGTGTCTTATTTAGTTAAAGGTAACTAACATAGGCTGCACTTTAGGTGGCACACCCATTGCAGTGTAACCCAGTGTCTTATTTAGTTAAAGGTAACTAACATAGGCTGCACTTTAGGTGGCACACCCATGGGTGCAGTGTAACCCATTGTTTTCTTTAGTTAAAGGAAACTTACTTTGGCTGCATTTAGGTGGTACACCCATAGGTGCAGTGTAACCCAGTGTTTTCTTTAGTAAACGGTAACTAACATAGGCTGCACTTTAGGTGGCACACCCATAGGTGCAGTGTAACCCAGTGTTTTCTTTAGTACACGGTAACTAACATAGGCTGCTCTTTAGGTGGCACACCCATGGGTGCAGTGTAACCTAGTGTTTTATTTAGTAAAAAGGTAATTAACATAGACTGTACTTTGGGTGGCATACCTATAGGTGCAGTGTAACCTAGTGTTTTATTTAGTTAAAGGTAATTAACATAGGCTGCACTTTAGGTGGCACACCCATGGGTGCAGTGTAGCCCAGTGTTGTATTTAGTAAAGGTAACTAACATAGGCTGCACTTTAGGTGGCACACCCATGGGTGCAGTGTAACCCAGTGTTTTATTTAGTTAAAGGTAACTACTGTAGGCTGCACTTTAGGTGGCACACCCATAGGTACAGTGTAACCCAGTGTTTTCTTTAGTAAACGGTAACTAACATAGGCTGCTCTTTAGGTGGCACACCCATGGGTGCAGTGTAACCCAGTGTCTTATTTAGTTAAAGGTAACCAACATAGGCTGCACTTTAGGTGGCACACCCATGGGTGCAGTGTAACCCATTGTTTTCTTTAGTTAAAGGAAACTTACTTTGGCTGCATTTAGGTGGTACACCCATAGGTGCAGTGTAACCCAGTGTTTTCTTTAATAAACGGTAACTAACATAGGCTGCACTTTAGGTGGCACACCCATGGGTGCAGTGTAACCTAGTGTTTTATTTAGTTAAAGGTAATTAACATAGGCTGCACTTTAGGTGGCACACCCATGGGTGCAGTGTAACCCAGTGTTTTATTTAGTTAAAGGTAACTAACATAGGCTGCATTTTAGGTGGCACACCCATGGGTGCAGTGTAACCCAGTGTTTTATTTAGTTAAAGGTAACTACTGTAGGCTGCACTTTAGGTGGCACACCCATAGGTGCAGTGTAACCCAGTGTTTTCTTTAGTAAACGGTAACTAACATAGGCTGCACTTTAGGAGGCACACCCATGGGTGCAGTGTAACCTAGTGTTTTCTTTAGTAAACGGTAATTAACATAGACTGTACTTTAGGTGGCATACCTATAGGTGCAGTGTAACCTAGTGTTTTATTTAGTTAAAGGTAATTAACATAGGCTGCACTTTAGGTGGCACACCCATAGGTGCAGTGTAACCCAGTGTTTTCTTTAGTAAACGGTAACTAACATAGGCTGCACTTTAGGTGGCACACCCATGGGTGCAGTGTAACCTAGTGTTTTATTTAGTTAAAGGTAATTAACATAGGCTGCACTTTAGGTGGCACACCCATAGGTGCAGTGTAACCCAGTGTTTTCTTTAGTAAACGGTAACTAACATAGGCTGCACTTTAGGTGGCACACCCATGGGTGCAGTATAACCTAGTGTTTTTTATTTAGTTAAAGGTAATTAACATAGGCTGCACTTTAGGTGGCACACCCATGAGTGCTGTGTAACCTAGTGTCTTATTTAGTTAAAGGTAATTAACATAGGCTGTACTTTTATTGGGTTTCTGTTTCTTTTAATTTTTATTTCAAAAAAATTAACTTTCATCTACGAGACTTTACTCTCAACTCCCACAATTGATTAACATGAAACTTCTTCCTATAATATTCATACATCATGTAGTGAACAGGTAATAAAAATACTCAAACTTATCAGGTAGAGATTTTTATCTAACATCAAATTAAAATTTAAAATTGGTCATTATTGATGAACAGCCTTACTTCTCTTCCGGTTTGACTGAAACCTTAACAGTTACTTGTTGTTTCTCTTTTAGTGTCCTGTGAGTGACCTACTTTCAGACCAAATCCTACTGTGGTCTAATCAAAGTGCAGCTTTGCCGATGCGGAAAAAAGAATGACAAATATCATTCTAGGATTCGGAAATATTCTTAGTTCCGATTAGGTTGCTTAAATGTAAATAGTTCAGGGTGAATCTTCTTTTTAATTTCTGAAGCATAATGACATTATAAGAGACGCTCTTTGCTAATGGAAGACTGCGACGCTTTACGACGGTTTCGCTCCTTGTCAAATTTCGCTACGTTCGAGTTCGCTACCTACAATTCGTGTCGCTACTTATTAGCAAAGTCCTGCCCTAGGGGAAAGCTTTAACGAATGAGAAATACACTAAAAGACTTTTGTTCTAAATCGACCAAGTGGCTTACAGAAAGTAATCTTTAGCGAAGTTGTTGCGAACCAGGCGGTAGCAAATTCGACAAGTAGCGAAACCGGTTGTTACCGTTGCGACGAGTTGCAAACAGGCAGCGTGCTTTGCTGACTAATATTCCAAGATTTAAGTTTTTTTTTCTTGTTGATTTGGTTGTTTCGATATAAGTTGTTTTCATACAAACTTAAGCAGTGAAAGTCAAACTACACAACAATTTCAACTAAGTAGTACACTACGCGAAACCAATAGCTCGACTTATACCGTAACAACCGGTGAGCATTTTGTAATGTACATTTTTTTTAACATAAACGTAAGGCATCACGGTCGTTGATTTAGGAACTTGGAGCGAACGAATTTATCAATCGAACGCAGTACATTCAGAATACCCGGCCACATGTCGAAACGCTTTTAGAACAAAGCATACACAAAGAATTGCCTTTTGTTATTCAATGAGATGCAAACGAGTGGCAGGGTGTTCAGTAATCTAGCCGAATTATAAGAGCAGAGTAAAAATTTCCAGTTATTATTCAATATTTATTGATCATAAACGTCGAGTATGCATCCTTGCTTTAGGAACCTTAATAGCAAAGAAGAATAGAGTGTAACTGTGTACAATAAACCCCAATAACAAAGCGAGGATCTTAGAGTCCCTGTATATATACAACGTAACAATGATTTTATAGAAATCAGAAATTCAAACGCAAAGCGAACGCAAAATCTCTTTCAAATACCTTGCACCTACTTGTTCAGCTTTTGAAATATTGAAAAGAATCTGTAACTAGATATGTGAAGTCTTCCTCTAAAAAAAATACAATTATTATTAAATATTTATTGATCATAAACGTCTATGCGTCCTTGCTCTAGGAACGTTAATAGTAAATAAAAACGGTATGTAACAGTGTACAGTATACCCTTGTAACGAAGCGATGGATCTTAAGAGTCCCTATATGTATACCACGCAACGATGATTAAAGAAATTAGAAATTCGAACGCAAAACGAACGCAACATCTCTTTCAAATGCGTTGCACTTACTTGTTCAGCCTTTGAAAGATTGAAATGAATGTAACTATAATGAAGTCTTCCTCACAAAAAGCGAAAAGTAAGTTTGCCGTACTCTGAGCAACGTGAGTAGAGACTCGGCCACCATATCAGTTCTAATTCCCTTGTACAGCGTCCTTCACCTGGACCCCAATATCTAGGTACGAGCGGCTTGTCGGTCTTGAGTCCTGCTTTCTGGCTCTCGCTTTTGCATAAGCTAGTGCTTCTTCTGCTGACATTTCGGAGATATCAGGCACTTCATCGCTATTTCTGAATAAGGCTTTTGGCCGAAATTGCAGCAGGTCTTGCTCTTCCAACACTAGCTTCAAGGTTTCCTCATTGAAAATTTTATATGAAAAGCGCCGCGCTATTCTCTTGAAAATCGGCTGACGGATATGGGGAGCATCGCGTACGCTGTCTACCATAGGGTTTCCCAAACGACAGAGTAAATGAGCGAAGTACTTCTGTGGCACTTGAAGGCAATCAACATGGCACCATTTTCCTTTCGATGAAAATAAAGTTAGGTGTAAGTAAGTGTGTAAGTCCAAGCACACCAAAATAAAGAACACATTGCGGGTTAGAGCATTTACCTGGGTGATCCGGTACCAGTGATCCGTTGATTCGCTCCACAAGAACCCCAAGCCATTTGAGATAATCTTCCATTTCTTTGTCAATAAGTGCTACTGCTTTTGGCTGTTCACATGGACTGTTTGATTCGTCCAAAAATGGCGCGATCTCGAGATTCCTTTCCTGGTGTTTCAATCCGAAATGTTTTCTCAGTGAAACACCTGTTTTAAACTTCTTTGTACACAGTTGACAGGGAGCTGAATAAGGCATTTTTTTCTCGCAAGGTCAAAACAGTGCCGAAAGTCGGCAGTCGGAAGTCAATGAACTTTCTCACTTCTACGAGTTTTCGTTAGTTATACAATTTGAAACAATGCTCTCAATCAATGACGCGTGACTCGCAAGCTTGAAAAATTCCGCTATTGTCGCAAACAATAGGTCCCTTAAGGTCACGTAAGCTGGGTCATAAACTATTTCTTGTAGCAGAATCATGGGGAAGAAGTTGTCCTTCATTTTAAAATCGCTGAAATTGTGGTAACTAAACCTTGAATGAAACTATTGTAGGAAGATTCATTACTTGACGAGGGAATTCCGCATTTAATTGCACGCGAAAAGCGATACGCGAAAAGCGATACGCGAAGCGATGAGTGCGATATCGGTTTTTAAGTGCAATTTAACGCGGAATTCACGAGCCAAGTAATGGATTTTCTTTGAATCACATATTTAAATAAAAACAAGATAAAAAGAAAACAGCATTACTTATATTTGTTATGTATACGTGGATGCGAAACAATATCACTTAGCCCCGCTAAACAACTCCCCTCGTCAACCAATCAGAAGGCGAGATTTTATGCAATGATGCGATTCTATCTGATATTAGGTCTGCTGACTTGGAAAATACTACACCTAAAATTTAACATCAGCAATCTTACGAGAGAAAGCATAAAGGCTAGGTCTCTATGACGGCTTATCTCTGGTTGACATTTTAACCAATTCTCGGACCATTTCATAAAAACCCAACAAAGACGATATCGCCTTAAGCATTCTTCCTAATGAAAAAATGTCACTGGCAACGCTATAGAGTCGTTCACTAACAACCTCAGGGGCTAAATAGCTTTTCCCTTTGCATTTCATAACGGTGCCGTTTCTGCGGTACAACGTAACAGATGAAACCTTAAGGCTCTATCCAAAGTCAATAAGAACTGGGCTGAATTCCCCAGAGGCTGAGGGCCGTTCTAGTACAACATTGTTTCCTTTGATGTCGTTATGAAGGTATCCTTTAGAGTGCACGTGGTCTAAAACACTGCATATCTTTTTAAATATAGAAATACAGTTTGCTTTAGTAACTGCGTTGTTATCGGCCGCTTGATGGAGAGTTACACTTTCTTGCTGAACACCATGAAATTGAGTCACAAGGCATAATGGTGAGGCCTTTGTAACAACACCAAAAATCATGGGTAGATGTGGATGGTCCCCCAAAGCAGAAACGACCTTTGTTTCGTGGAGTAAATCTCTCCTTGCTCGTTCTTCATCCTCTGACGTTTCGTTGTGAGTCATTTGCTTGACAATAACGTCGATGCCTCGATAGCGCCTGAGAAAACACTGTCCAAAGCTTCCACTCCCAACTGGATTTTTAGACAAGTATTCACTGTTTTCTGGCCTGAGTTCTTTGGGTTCAAATCTGGATCCATTGCTCGCTGTGTTTTTTTTTTTTTTCCAATTAAAAGGTTTGATGACGTTTCCCACGAGGTTTCTGCGAGACAACTGCGTCGGCACCAACAGCCATTTGAATCATCTTAGCAGCTCTTGAACAACCACCCAAGGCCTCTTTCTTCTCTTCACTGCCTGGTTTAAGCGCGAGGATATGGGGTTTCTTGACATTTTGTGGCTCAAAATGTTGGTCCGAAGGAGGCAGTTTCGTTTCCTTAGCCTCAGAAGTACAAGGCACCGACTCATTCGCTTCGCGGTTGAGTGATTGTAGTTCAACATTTTTATTCGTTGAATTCGGCATTTGCTTCCCTTGTTTCCTCTTTCTCCATTCTTTTCTCTGTCTGTTTCTTTCTTCTGGAGTATTTTTTCGTGATTTAATAACTCGCTCTTTTCGTTCTTCTTCATCTTCAAAATCCTTCACAAATTCCACCATCATTATGTAGCTAATTGATCTATTTCCGAAACACAAATGAGCTCGTGATCGGTGTAAAAGTATAAAACAAAGGCTTGTTGATGTGCAGGAAATTCGATGCTCGTTTTGATGAACTTGATGATATGTGAAAGCCCGAGTTGCTCTTCAATCGTTTCTGGTTTGCTTTCATTACGCGACATTCTTCTGTCAGAAGAGTGTCGGGAAAAACACCTCGCAAGGATCGTACGTGACAACACCCTCCACGCCTCGACTAACGCTAAAAAAGCTCCATACAATTCCTTATAATTTTATTATAAGGAATTGTATGGAGCTCTCCGGGATACTTACAGTGCAAGCCCTGTGTGTCTTCTCCCGGGGAGTAGATTGTTGTCATATTGGCTGAAACTGCCTTCTTTTCTTCTAAATTTAGATGATCTTTGACGTTTTTAAGATCGGGTGTGCGATTATTGAAATGATAAATTATTTTATTTAAATTTTAAACTCATCTATTTTGCATTCGTTAGCATTTTTCAATATATCCATAATATTTCAGCTGGAAAGCCTTCTTCAAGAAGCGCTATAAATCATGTATACGGTGTTTTTTCTACCTGACGTTACATAAATGGGACTGGAGTAGAAATAAGTTCTCTAAAAAGTTGTGTTTGCATTTACAAATATTGAGTCATTACAACCTAAACGCAATTTTCGATCATGCTGACACTACAAGCAAACACTGTCTTTGTGTTTACAGCCGGCTGCCTTGAAACAACTGTTGATATTTTTTAAAACAAAAATTCCCTCACGCTAATGTGCTAGCAAACATTTATCATTTATTTTAAAATTCTAGGAATCGTTTGATCATTCGATCTACTTTAAATATTTGTGCATGAATCACCGAGAAAGATATGCCAACGAAATAATCACATGGAATGAATCTCAAACAGGGAACGGAATTGCGTAAACCAACATGTATACCAAGGACGGATGAGGAAAAATGGTTTACGCACTCTTGATCGCGAAAAAGAGTTTGTGATCTAGCATTCAAATATAAAAGCTAATGGTCATTATTAAATTTTCAACTCCGGATACTACATTTCTGGTGTTCTGACTGGTTCACTCAATTCCGGTTATTAGCTCATAATCCGGGTCACCTTATATGGAAATACATTGCGCTAATTGTTGAGAAGGGAAAAAAAAGGCTCTAATTATCCAAACATTGAGGATTTAACGAAATTTAATGAAACAATTATTCCATTCGCACTTGTTGGACACGAGATTGTTGAAAGTTGACTTGGCTCCATGTCCCTTGTTGGCTATTTATCATCTCATATACAACGCGCGGTCATGAAATAATTGTTAAATATTTCATGACGAATTTATTTTATTTGAGGATAATTTAATGCGATTGGTTTTCAGAAATATTCCGTGTCGTGTAACCTTAAACAAAGCAATATTTTTTGTATAGTTTTAAACTTTCTGACTGACTGATGGCGAAATTTTGCCATACTCTACGATCTTATTGTTTGGAACTGTTTAGATTGACATAAGGCGTAGAACTGGGTACGTCAAACAGTTGCCAATTCAAGTCAAATTAAGATTTCCCGAATATTCTCTGTTTAACTTGATAAGCTCCACTAACCGAAAATGGCCTTAGGAATGAAAGCACCCACGTAAAACGGAAAAGTGTCATGGGTATTTGATGCGTTGACCCCTCTACTTAGAAGAATGGCTTTCGTAGTGAAAACTGAACAAACGGTAATTACAACTAAAGCATTTCTTCAACACTTCAGGAATAAACTCCCCTAATTGCGGGGCTTCATCGAAGCCCTGTTACAGCATATCCTACGCCGTCAATCTAGCGGTTAGACAGAACGTTAGCCGGCTAACTATTAATATTTCCACGGGAAGATATGAAGAGTTGGAAAGTATTAAACTGGATTTTGGAAGATGGAGCTTACGGAAAGTTACTTTTTGGGGAGAGCAGTTAGTGAACAGAGTGATATGGTTTTTTTTTATCCAATGGATTTTCTACGTGGCAACTTATCAACTGCTTGGTATTTTGATTTTCTCCAATTTTGCTTATAAAAAATGCTTGGACCTATTTTTCGCCTTTGGTTTCCTCTGAAAGTTTTTTGTAACCTTCTTTTACATAGGGTTGATGAGCAATTGGTTGAAGTTGGCTATTCATCTCTATCGGAGATATTTGTCGTAAATGTATTTTTTTTCGGAAATTGTGACGGTTAAGATTAATTTGTAACAGGAATTGGTCGTCCAATTCTGTCAGTAATCGTACTCGTGATAGACAAATCGACGATTTTGATAATCACTCGTATGATTACAGACCAAATCGGACTCCACTTGGTCCTATTACCATTATTAATCTTAAACGGAAGAAAGTTCAGAGCCGTTGAGGTGGTTGCTTTTCCTCTCCCATTGATCAGTACTTGCCTCGGTAAAAAAAAACAAAAAAAAAACAGAGAGGGTAAAGACCTGGATAAGACTTGCTAGAATGACTGCCACGAAAAGAAATAGCTTACGAGCATGTCCTCATTATCAGTGCTCGAGAACGCGCGTTTCTCCACACGCGGGAAGATTTGAGACGAGTCTAGGAGAGGTGAGAGAGTCTGGGACTAATAACGGGACCCCCTGCAGGCCTCTCATCGCTTCGCGTAGCTCAAAGCCCCATAATTCCTCGCGGGCAAAGGAAAGCTCGTACCAAAGTATTGATAATGAGCGTCTGTTCGTAGGCCTAAAAAAAAAAATAAATAATAAATAGGCTCGATCGTTCGGTATCATAAATCCTCAAGACTTTGACTAGGTTCAACTAATTTTATTTGTTACTTCAACTACAGCTAATTTGATTCCGATACACTACGCTTATACAGCAGAGAACAAATCATCTAAAGCAAGGAACTTCTTAGCGGTACTCTTCACTTGTTTCGGCTTAGTCTTTTTAAGGTCCATGACGGATTTAGCCGTGATGGGTGGATTGACCTTCCTGTACAACCCAGCGTCCGATACCACCACCACCACCTGGAAAATCAATTGATTAGATATGAATAATTCTATCTTCCACATCATCGAGAGAGAACCACATCAATCGCCGCATAATGATACTTGTGAATGACCCCTAAAGTAAAGTATCTTTTTCTTACTGACAGTGTCGTTGCTGAAGCAAAGGTCAAAAGGAATTATCACCATCTAGAGAAGCTTTTGATGGGTGAAAAAATTCTCCTTGTCAGCGCTCTTAGAAACTGTATAGCGTACTGTATGGAGAATATAGAGACCCATGTTAGGGTACGAAGGGTTTATGATCGCGAGGAAAAGTGAAGTTAGTTGAAAATAAATCCTAAAAATCACTTATTTTAGATCCACCTCCGCTCATTTCGAAGTTATCCAAAATTGTTTTCTAGATTGTCTTTTACTTCTTTCTGTTCCTGAATGCGTACTTAGCAGTACTGGCCGGTTCTAAATACTGTTCTAAAACGTAAAATTCCTGTTAAAATACATTTTGTAATATTGCTTTCATCCGCTTAAAGAGCCTGATCTCTGGTTCTCTGGAAAGCTCTTATCTTTCCGATCCCGCGGGTTGCGATACCTCATCCCGTACCGTACCCTAAACTCTTATCCCGTACGTTTCTTTGAACCCTAAACCCTTCTGCCATAAGATAAGGTTTTTTACCAGAGCGTATAATATGACCAAAAGCTTGGGTGGACCGATATTTTACAGAGCTTCACTAAGCAGTTCTCACGGCATGGTTTGCAAAGGACTTTGTTTGCTTACCACCACCAGTTCCAAAAGCACATTTTACAGGATCCCCTCCGGACACGGAAATTTTAGTCTTCGGATCTCCGATGAGTTTCTTGGTAAAGATGACAACACTGCCCCCAGCGCCACTTCCCCCAGGGGCTGATCTGTGACCTTTCCGATTGAGACATTGTCCAGAGTTTCCTGCGTAAAAAGTAAAGTATTAGCTCCATAAAACAGCTAGGCCACAGATTTACAACGTGGAGCAATTTCTCATTTTTAGTTCTGACCTCCACTGCTTCCTTTTACATTTTACGGGCGTTTGCGGCTCAGAGGGTGTAGTTTTTGACCAATAGACTCTATTATCTTGTTTGTTACTCATTTAGGTCTGAAAAGGGGATCGCTTTTTATTATTTAGGTCTGGAATAAGGTATGGTTTGAACATTATCGAAAAACTTGGTCTTTCAACAACATTTCTCTGAGACTGAAGGATTCTAAATTTACCCATTAAATTCCCAAGATCTGGTTTTTAATTCCTCCCTCTATCTACGTCAAATTTCTATGTAGTGTTAAATAAAACAGTATCCTCATTACTTGTCTACTGGATAATGTATGGATAGTGCATGGAGAAGTTACTTGTTAATCACTTCTAGGAGCCAAAGGGTTGAGACTTTGGGAGGGAGGGGTGGGTTTTATGCTTTTCTGGTTCATACCTTTTACACTGATGGTCCCTCGTAGTTCCAGTTTCCCAACCTGTAAATACACCAGTCCTCCTCCACTTCCTCCTTTCCCTCCAGGGTTGGGGTCATCACTGAACGCACTTGCTCCTCCCCCTCCACCTCCCCCTCCGTAACTCAGGTGAGTCGTGAAGTTGGTATGGCCAAACTGGAGTCCGCCTGAATATAAACAAAATAATAGCGGCCCCCGTGGACCCTGAAGGTGTCATTAATGCTCCCAAGTCAGTTGCATATGTGTTATTTATTTATTTTTTTATCTATACATAGAACGAATTTCTCCAGAACACCCAAGTTTGCGGTGGGTAAGAGATTCATTCATAGAAGTTTCCTTGCTTGAAAACATTGAAATTTGTCATAAAACCTCGTCATTTCAGTCCATGAAAGATCTAGGACGTTGACGTAAATATACAAGATCGTAAATAGTCCACTTTGGCAACTAACCAAAGATCGTTTAATTTGGAAGAGAAATAATACCAGAAATCATTTAGGTTTTGTCTCCGCCACTAAACTACAAGATCGACTGCATTTTGAGAATCTAAACCTTTCAAAGATTGTCTTTAACTGTGCTGAAAGTCCGGCCAAGAGTTATGAAAGTTGTATGTTATCTGGAGCATACCTCCCTTTCAATAGTTAAGATAATCCGAAATTGCGACGGTTTCAAATGGTTTCCTTCACCTCGCTCTTTAATTGGTCTACAAAACTCGTGCCATTCTCTCAGCCAATCAGATGCAAAACTAAAACCAATTGCAATTTGATCATGGGTGTTGTTATTGTTGTTACGATCGAATGCTGTTATTGCTTTTGCTTTTGTTTTACAGCGCTCAATCGAAATGTTCCTTATGGATGCTTGAGCCCAAATCCCTAGTCACATTCGACCTCAAATTCAACATCAAACCAATAGAGCTGACTGAAGTATCTTGGCTTCGATCACGTTGAGGAAAAACACAAAAAGAATTGTTTACTGACCTCCTCCACCACCTCCACCGTAAGCATTGCCACAAGAATCACCTTAAAATCGAATAAAAAATAACAATATCATCCATTACCTTGATTACAGTATAACGATTTAAGCTATAAATAGCATTGGTTTCAAGTAAACCTTCGTCATCTCTTAAAAGGCTTTCCAGTGTAATGGACTACACAGTATAAGTGACATGACCTAAAAATTACCTCCTCCACCTCCAGAGCTAGATGAGCCTGCGTTACCACCTGATGCTGACTTGTCGTAGCAGTGGGGAGCCTGATTAGGAGGCCATTTCCCTGCACTCCCTCCATTGCCACCATGTCCTCCTGGGCAAGACGACTGACCCCCACCCCCAGCATGGGTACCGATCTAAATGAAAATTGTGGAAGAAAGCCTTTAATAACCTCGTTCTTACAATGGATAGACAAGTCAGTTTCAGTTTCTTGTCAGTAAAAATTGGACGGAGCCAGTAGCTAGATGGAGGCTGAAGTAACAAACGCATATTTGCGTCTTCTCAGACGGTGGCAATGGTAACCTAAGCTGTGTCTTCACACGTTTTTACTCCGACCAATTCATATAAGAATTAATGACTTACGTTTCCAGCTGATCCTCCCTTTCCTCCATCGTGACCACCACACCCACTGCCCCCTCCCCCTCCCCCCCCACCGGAGAAATGTCCACCCCCTCCCCCACCGGCCGCTCCATCGTCACTGTTGACAGTTGAGTCTCCTCCTCCGCCGCCGGCATTAGTTCCTCCCGGACCTCCATTAGAACCTGCCGGAAAGTTTTTGTTACAAGGTTAAGAAATACTGTTCCACTCATCATGTGAACTTGATAAAATGACCTTTTTTCGCCAACAAATTCTTGTTAATTTAGTCAGCTGACTTTCCTGAGCCGAAAACGGCTAGCGTTATGATACCATCAGAAACTTAAGTTTCCTTTTCCATCCAATTACTACAGAGTCTACAAAAGTTTCAAGAAAAACTCACATTCATTGTCGTTTATCGAATAGAACGTTTTCTATACATAATTTCCAAATCTAATTTCACGATTCTATCCGAGTTGATTCGACATGAAACTAGTTGTCCTTTCCAGCTATCCACCTTCATCTCTCGTCACTGGACACTTGTCTGTTTTTATTTGGTATTTTGGGCGCCCAGTGATTCAATCGACCTTCCTGCTGTTTCCTTACTGTTGGCTTGAATTTAGACCATACCATCGATCATTTCACGCAGTTTAAAATTTATTTACAGTAATTTGTACCTTCCAGCGCGTAAGACAGTTAAGGTAGTTTCGTTTAAATTCCAACTGGTTTCTAGTGGCATTATCCTCGCTCTGATTAGACCTTGAAATACCTCACGCATGTATACTAACCTACTCTTGTCTGTGGCCCGTCCCCAGCCCCTCCACCGCCAATTCCGTCGGTGTTCTTTGCCCAGGGTACATTGGAAATGTCTCCTCCTTTTCCTAGTAACGCGTTTGCTGGACAGTCGAACGTTTCGCCTCCGTACCCTCCACCCCCACGGGAATCACCTCCAACGCCGCCTGTAAATCCTGAAAATCAACGACACCGCTAAGAAGTACTCAAAAGCAACACTTTGTTCGCAGGTGAGTGCGCCACCCTTCTGCTCCTCCTCCCATTCGATCCTGTTCCTTCACGGTCTGAATACGACATGTAGAAGATATGATATAGGCACAAACAGGGGAACAAGCTGTCTAGGTACAGGTGGAGCCAGAGGGTTCGAAGGATTGTTAGACCCAGGATCATAGTAGTAATTATAATTATTTTACCAGGAAAAAATGTTTTAGTTCGGACGTTTAGTTTTGGGCAAACACCATAAAATTTGTAGCTCTTTAGGCAAACTGAAGGTGGACAGATTTAGACATACCCTCATTTTCTTAGAGCTTTTGTTACTTTTTTTTACTACTCTACAATCATACTCTCTATGAATTTAAACTCAATTGTAGACTACCAACAGCATACCGCAATGGCCGTTCAGGATCAAATTGAAAATCAATCTTTTGTTGTAAAAATTTTGAAAAATCATGTCCTAGTCTGTTTAATTATAGAAGAAAACTTGCGAATAATTCATTCACAAATCAGAGCCAATATAATTCCTGTTTCATCCTAAGACATAAACAGAGGTGTGAGAAGTTCTAAAATGCTCGCACCTTTTCCAGTCATATCTATTTTGGAAGTACTATCGATCACCAGGTTGTCGGCCTCAAAGGCCAGAATTCCTCCCAGGCCATCTTTCTGTTCATCACATGTCAGGACACATTTGTTACGTAAAGATACTTTGTCAAATGATGGAAGCCTTTGAGCGATCAAACATGTTAAATGGTCCTTTTCAAGATCCATCGTAATGGGTTTGTCAAAGACAACTCGGCATTGTGATCTGTAATCATACAAATAGAAAGCATTGATTAACGGATTGATATGGCAAATTACTAGTTTACTTATCGATTTGGTGATTTATACACGGACTAAAAAATGGATGGGTTGGCAAATGAATGAAAACATGAACTCAAGGATATTTTCATAGCTACAACCGTTTGGTCAGTCAGTAAGTTATTCTGTCATAAAGTCATTCAGTCAGTTAGTCGGTTATTCTATCTTTCAGTCAGTTATCGGTTATTCTATCTTTCAGTCAGTTAGTCGATCAGTCAGTCAGTTAGTTGGTTAGTCACTCTGATGGTTAGTCAGTCAGTCAGTTAATCATTTGTTCATTCAATAAGTTAGTCAGTTCTTCTCTCATTCAGTCGGTTATTCAGCCGGTCAGTCAGTCAGGTGGTCAATCAGTCTTCAGTCGATCACTCAGTCGGCCAGTCGTCAGTCAGTCAGTCAGTCAGTCAGCCAGTCAGTCAGTCAGTCAGTCAGTCAGTCGGTCAGTCAGTCAGTCAGTCAGTCAGTCTGTTGGTCAGCTGGTATGTCAGTCAGTCAGATAGTCAGTCAGTCAGTCAGTTGGACAGTCGTCGGTCAGTAGGTTGGTCAGTCAGTCAGTCAGTCAGTCACTCGGTCGGTCGGTTGGTCGGTCAGTCAGTCAGTCAGTAGGTTGATCAGTCAGTCAGTCAGTTAGTCGGTGAGACGGTCCGCCAGCTAGTCATCCAGTCATCCAATGGTCGGTCAGTTTGTCCACATTACTTTTTTAGAAGCCAGAATCCGTTCGAGAAATGTATTAGACACTTAGAACGTTTGAGTGTAAATTATTTGCAATCAAAATTTACTGAGTCTATGTTGAAAATGTTAGCTATATATAGAGACATGTAGTTCTCAAAAAAGAGTTGGGCCACAAGTTTCCTCTAATTTTCATTCTTACTTTTCGTCTCCAGCTATTGGTGTGACGTCTTGTGCTGTGACCACTTCATATTTGCCATAATTGATCAGTCTTCCTTTGCTAACAAATAGTAAGAGTTTGTCTCCAGCCTCCAGGCCGTCACATGAATACAAATCCATGGTGTCTTGAGTGATAACGGCAACTTTCCACGACTTCGAGTGATCAGTCTGACACAAGTTGACCGTTTTTCCATTGCACACAAAGCCATTTGCTATGTTGTAAACAAAAAGATTATTCAGGGAAAACTTCATCCCGCCATAAGATACGAGAAGTAGAATCTACCCAAGTAGGAGGTGTAACATATCTGAGATCTAGTCCTATGTGAATTGCCGGATAGATTCCAAAATATGTCCCACACTTTTCCGTAGACCCACCTATTGTCTTCTCATAAAATATCATACCACAACTCCCTACTATTGTCACCCAATTCCGGAAAAAACTCCTTTGTGTATTTTTCACATCTCTCAGTTTGCTTGCCTAAGTAGTCGTGCAAACTTTAACCAGTCCCTCTCCGTTGTGACCAAAGTCGAGTAAACTGTGAAAATAACTTACTCTCGACATCAGTGCAATCCGAGCATCCTAAGACTCCCTACAGACAAAGAAATAGATGTTTTCTCGTTTAGTTTGCGAAAAAGTGTGCACAATATGTGTATGCGTACTTCTAAATTTACAACTATCCTGCGAGCAGTAACCGGCATTTCTTAGCTCGCGGGAAATCATGAGGAGGCCCTGAGCTACACACACCGACGAGAAGTCTGCAAGGGTCTAGCACTGAAAATGAGTTAGGGCCAGACTCCCGGCAAACTTCTCTCCGACTTGTTTCAAATCTTTCCGCTGGCGAAGAAACGTGCATCATTCAGCGCTGATCGATAATTGATTATAATTAATTAACATACAACAGTTACAAAATTACAACAGTGGACATGTGTTTCACCGTCAACTGCACTTGTGCACTTAACAAGATTTACCTTTCCGTTTGGTCAGTATCTTTGTACGTGTTTAGTACTATTTTCTGCATGGCAACTTTTTCAAAGGTGAGGGAGATTTAAGCCGTCAATGTCTTTTATTCCTGTTTATCCTTTAACCCCTGGTGGGGATCAATACATAAGTTCTTCTCACAGTTTTATAGGTATCTGAGAAGGCGGGCGCTCACATTGGTCGGCTAGCATGATTAGATAGAAGTACGTAAACACTGCTGTTACCCGCCAAATTTCTGTGCAAGCTCAAGTTTCTTTAGTCACCTTTTTCCTAATTGATCTACTTAAAACTGCCATACCAACATGATGAAATACTGACCGAATGGATGAAACATGCCAACCATAAAAACAACAGCGGCGGCAAATGAAGTTTATGGATCATCTCTCCGTCGGCAGAAGTGCAGACTATAATACAACTGGCTTCTATTTGCTTTCAGCCCTACGCGATGAATAAGCAAAAGTTCAACAATCTAATAAATGAGTCAAAGGACTGCAGTGCATGGGGTGATTCTTAGGTCAAAATCTCCGAGAACAGTTTCTTTTAAGGAGACAAGGCCTTTAAAAAAGGTATCTGGGACTTGAGAAGTGAGACAGCTAGAGGCGAGATCGTGAGAACGTTCTTAAACACGCAGTTGGGGTCATTAGATATCTTAATTGGCATCTTCATGAATAGATTATGTATGAACTTAAGGGTTCACTCCATTGCTATAAATGCATTTCGTCCTTGTTGAAGTCTACAACCATAGTGCTTGTGCCAAATAACAAATTGTTATTCCTCGTCTGTTATTTATAAAGCAGAAACCATTGGAAAAGATGCGCAAAACACTTCTCGACTCGGCTATTTATCTTAAAAATCTGCCAACCATGAATGTCTCGCTTGAAAGGAAACATGAACAAACTGTTGATTAAAAAATTGTAGACCCCATTCGCAACATTAAGCATCCAATAAAATTGATAAGTGGGTCTTAAGAATTATTCTACCCACTGAGAATTATGACATAATCGATCCTTAAACATTGCTTTCGACTTGTATTTTTGAATAGTGACTACAGGAGAGCGCTAAGAAATAAACTTAGAGCTGTGCAAAGTTTCGTCAATCCTGAATTAATTTTTTCCGTGTTCGGGGGCTACATCGATTTAAAAAAAGTTAATTATACTACGTGCCAGAAAGAAATCGCGTCTGAGTAAAAAATCAGATACATTCTTTAGCCTGACTATGATAGACACTTGTACCCATACGCTTTCTTGCAATAGAGATGTGTCACCTACCTAGTTACGAAGAAATGTTTTTCTTGACTTTGAGGTTAAACAGATTCGTCTCAGCACATGTAGAACCCTGCAAGTGTAAAATAATAATAATGAAAAAAACAGGACTTGTCAAGTTATGTAATGTTGGATCTGTGATTTGATTGGCTTAAAGCTTGTGACTCATGGCGAATTTTTGCCATACTCTGTGATCTTATTGGTTAGGACGGTTTAGATTGACATTCGGCCTATAGAACAAAGTGCGTCAAACAGTTGCCAATTCAAGTCAAATTTAGATTTTCCGCATATTCTCTGTGTACCTTTATAAGCTGTTCTAACCGAACATTGCCTAAGGAATGAAAACATTCACGTAAAACGGAAAAAGTGTTATGGGTGAGTGATGCTTTGACCCCTCCACTTAGAAGAATGGCTTTTCTTTTTGGTAATCAAAACTGAACAAATAGTAAATGCAACTGAAGCATTTATGCATTAAATCCTTAGTTCCTAAAAGAAAAAGATGTTGACATATTGTCTTAAGCGTGGGATTAGTCCCACAATATGATAGACGTTTAAAACATCTCTTAATTCGACGCGCGAGCGCAAAATTTACCATCTTTCTTCCAAATTTTTTCTCTATATCCGACGCTTTCGACCGCGTCACGTAAAAAAGGCCAAGCAAATTGTCGTGTACTCCGCAGCTAGCTTGGTAGTAGTGCATCAGAGTGCGAGATCCTAACATTTAAAGTTCGGATTCGCCTGGTAACTTACACGCATAGAGTCTCTGTAGCTTAATGGAAGAGCATCGGAGCCCGATAATCGAAGATCTGTCAGAGGTTCGATTCCTCATAGGAATGAGTTTAACGACGAAAAATATTTCTCTGTTTTACTCCTTGTCTCACGATCATGACAAATAATTGTTAAAATCTCTCTTTATTTGATGACCAGACGAGAAATTAGGCTGTATCCTCTTTCCTCTTTTCGTGTTATAGCATTTGAAGGAGTAAAACCGAACTGATTGAATCCTGAGTAACGAAGTGGTTTATCACTAAAATGTGGACTGCACGCACAAAGAGCACTTGGGTATCATTAAAAGTCCACCGTAATTTGTACGGGTTCCGAAGAGAGTAGATTGTTGTCATATTGGCTGAAACTGCCTTCTTTGCTTCTAAATTTAGATGATCTTTGACGTTTTTAAGATCGGGTGTGCGATTATTGAAATGATAAATTATTTTATTTAAATTTTAAACTCATCTATTTTGCATTCGTTAGCATTTTTCAATATATCCATAATATTTCAGCTGGAAAGCCTCCTTCAAGAAGCGCTATAAATCATGTATACGGTGTTTTTTCTACCTGACTTTACATAAATGGGACTGGAGTAGAAATAAGTTCTCTAAAAAGTTGTGTTTGCATTTACAAATATTGAGTCATTACAACCGAAACGCAATTTTCGATCATGCTGACACTAAAAGCAAACACTGTCTTTGTGTTTACAGCCGGCTGCCTTGAAACAACTGTTGATATTTTTTAAGACAAAAATTCCCTCACGCTAATGTGCTAGCAAACATTTATCATTTATTGTAAAATTCTAGGAATCGTTTGATCATTCGATCTACTTTAAATATTTGTGCATGAATCACCGAGAAAGATATGCCAACGCAATAATCACATGGAATGAATCTCAAACAGGGAACGGAATTGCGTAAACCAACATGTATACCAAGGACGGATGAGGAAAAATGGTTTACGCACTCTTGATCGCGAAAAAGAGTTTGTGATCTAGCATTCAAATATAAAAGCTAATGGTCATTATTAAATTTTCAACTCCGGATATTACATTTCTGGTGTTCTGACTGGTTCACTCAATTCCGGTTATTAGCTCATAATCCGGGTCACCTTATACGGATATAAATTGCGCTAATTGTTGAGAAGAGAAAAAAAAGGGTCTAATTATCCAAACATTAAGGATTTAACGAAATTTAATGAAACAATTATTCCATTCGCACTTGTTGGACACGAGATTGTTGAAAGTTAACTTGGCTCTATGTCCCTTGTTGGCTATTTATCATCTCATATCCAACGCGCGGTCATGAAATAATTGTTAAATATTTCATGACGAATTTATTTTATTTGAGGATAATTTAATGCGATTGGTTTTCAGAAATATTCCGTGTCGTGTAACCTTAAACAAAGCAATATTTTTTGTATAGTTTTAAACTTTCCTCACAATTAACTTTTAATTTGAACTACTGATGCTTTTTTCCCAATCATTCACGCTACAACGCCCGAAACTGCTCCTAAAATCGACCGTATGTGACGCTTTATACACTACCGTTTTCAAAAGCCTCTGTTTTTAACCTGTTAACACAAAGAATGAGGCCTTTTCAGAATGATGCGTTTTGAAAGATTCTATGCATTTGAAATAACCTCTACGGTCTCACACAGACAGTAAGCGATGGCGCAAAAAGCCGCATGGCCCTGTGTGCGGTCTCGCTCGAAAAAAAATGCAATGTGCTGGGTCGAAAGAGAAAGAGTGGCCATATGAAAATATCTTTATTGACCGGGTTGGTTCAAGAGGTAGGGGAAAATATTTGGCTCTCTCTCGTGACGCACAGTCTTCGAATCAATTATTTTCTCGACCGGCCCCGGTACCTACTGAAGTTGAGAGGCCCATAGAACTACAGAAGTGCTTTTTAAAATAATAATCGGAATGGCCAGTGAGCTATGCTATAGTGAACTTTATGCCCGCTGGTAGATCTGCAACAATCATGTTTCTTGGAGGCAAGTCAGTTATTGTTTAACGAATGGGACAGAGTATAGTCCGTTGGTCCCTAAAGTCCACTCCTCAGTTTTTCTTTTCACGTACTTTCCCAGCATCCTTTAGAAGCAGCAATGGCGGACGCTTCTTCACGTGCTAAGTATTATTCCAAGGTTAAAATCCATTAAATTCTCCTCTTGATAATGAAGGCTGTTACAATATGTACGTGATTACATGCCCCATCAATGTCTAACTAGACTGAGATCGAGTTACATCTGTATTGTCTTACAACGCTGTATGCTACTGAATGGTTGATAAAAACGGATCTTGTAACATGGTGGCAGCGAAATAGGATAACGAATCCTCCGCCTACCACTTACGGAGTCAAAAACAGTTGAAATCATCTTGGTGTAGTAATGTCCGACTCAGAAACGGCGCCTGAAGCGCCACCACCTGGCTCTTCGCAACAGACCCTAACACAACTGGGAGTTGTGCAACACCCGCCTTTTGGCGCGATGGCCGGGATAATGCCTCCTGGAAAACTAGTTACGACCGGGAATGTGGCGGATAACTGGAAAGTATGGAAACAAATGTGGGGCAACTACATGGTCATTGCTCAACTCGAGCTGAAACCGCCGGCGTACAAAGTCGCATTGTTTCTCCACTGTATCGGTGTTGATGCGTTAAAGATTTTTAACGGCTTCCAATTCGACACTCCAGACGATAGACATGATCTGGCAAAGATAATACAAAAGTTCGACGAATTCACCATCGGCGAACTGAACGAAACCTTTGAAAGGTACACTTTCAACTCCAGAACTCAACAGGAAAACGAAAGCATTGATGCTTATGTCACCGCCCTTCGCACACTAGCGAAAACATGCAATTTTTGTGACTGCATGCGTGATTCGATCATTCGCGACAGGATCGTCCTGGGCATTCAAGATCACCGCACTCGCAAACGGCTTCTACAAGAACGGAGCCTCACCCTGGCGAAGTGTATCGATCTTTGCAAGAGTTCTGAGGCAACAAATTTGCAATTGAAAACGATCTCGGGCGCCCAGAACGAAGATGTTCACGCTGTGCAAGATAAACACCCGCCTTCCAGCCGCCGTGATTACAAGTCTAGGAAAAGCCGCGCGGGGAAGACGAAGACCTGTAAATTTTGTGGCAAAGCACATCCTTTCGAAAAAGGAAAGTGTCCAGCGTGGGGCGCGAAATGTACGAAGTGCGGTGGCAGAAATCACTTCGCAACAACCTGCACTACTCCGACCAGAAAAGTGTACAACTTGAGAGATGAATCCTCCGATGACAGCGACATGGAGTACATTACAAGCATTGTTGCACGACCGGACATGATACATGCTGTTACACAAGAACATGATTACCCAAGAGTAATCTACACTGAGATGCTTGTGGGCAAGGCAGAAGTGAAATTTCAAGTAGACAGCGGCGCCTCGGTGAATGTCATTTCCGCCGATCTTGTGGCTGATAAGAAGCTTGAGCCCACCACAAAGACACTACAAATGTGGAACGACACAACACTAAAGCCACTGGGTTCCTGTCGATTAATTCTCCACAATCCAAAGAATAAGAAGAAGTTCTCGGTGGAATTCCTTGTCGTTGATAGACAACTGACCCCACTCATTGGAGCAAAGGCAGCTCAACAGATGGGCCTAATTACTGTCAACACTCAAAACTTCACGATCGCTAAACCACCTGAACGATCAAGGGCAAAGGTTAAGAGCGTGCAGACGGCTGACGAAATAGTAGCGGCCTACCCAGAGGTGTTCCAAAGAGAGCTAGGAGCACTACCAGGAACAGTTCACCTTGAAGTCGAACAAGGCGCAACTCCCGTCGTCGCACCTCCACGCCGTGTCCCAACGTCACTCAAAGAGAAACTGAGGAAAGAACTGGATCGACTACAGCAATTGGAGGTCATAGCTCCAATCGATGAACCCACTCCATGGGTTAGCAGTCTTGCCGTGGCTGTGAATGTATCTACTGGCCAGGCATGTCTGCGGAAATGAAGCACCACATCTCCGCCTGTGAAATATGCAGAGAACTTGACAGCACCACGCACCCAAAGGAGACACTAATGTCCCACGAGGTCCCATCCCGTCCTTGGGAGAAGATCGCCACAGACATCTTTACTCTTGATGGCAAAGACTACCTGGTCACCATCGACTACTATAGCAATTTCTGGGAGGTGGACAGGTTGCCGAACACTAAAGCCAGCACCACCATTCTGAAGCTAAAGAGTCACTTTGCTCGCTACGGTATACCTGATCAAGTGATCAGTGACAATGGGCCACAGTTTACAAGTGACGAATTCGCTGAATTCTCCAGAAAATGGGATTTTGAGCACCTTACCAGTAGCCCTGGAAATAGCAAAGCCAATGGCAAGGCCGAGTCTGGGGTGAAGACAGTCAAGCGCATTCTGAAGAAATCAATCAGGGCTGGAACCGACCCATACCTCGCCGTACTCGACTATAGAAACACGCCGACACAAGGGACGACGACCAGCCCAGCACAACGCCTGATGAGCCGAAGGACCAAAACACTCCTTCCTACCACTCAAAGCCTACTACTACCCAGGACCATAAACCTGGAAGTGGGAAAGAAAGAGCTGCGACAGCGCCAGCAAGCCCAAGCCAAGTACTACAACCGGTCCGCAAAGGATTTACCCAGTTTGTCTGAAGGCGATGTTGTTAGAATGAAGCCATTCAAACTTGGAGATAAGTCTTGGCGCAAGGCCAAAGTCACTGCAAGACTCGACGAGCGATCATACACCGTTGAGACGGACAACGGAGCAGTCTACCGCAGAAACCGACAGCACCTGCGGAAAACGTCTGAACCACCAGTTGAGCCCACCATCACAGCGCCAGAACCGGATATGGCCAGCACAGATGAACAGGTGACCACAACCGCAGCGTCTACCCCTGACCAGAGCAATGCTCCTCACGAGCCACACCCTGAAGAGGTGACTGTTCCGGAACAATGTCGGAGGTCAGAGCGAGTCAGGAGGAGCCCAGCATACCTCAAGGACTATATCCGTGACTAGACTCGTGACTTTAAATCCTTCTTCGCGGTTATCATAGGGTTCAGTGTTCTCGTTTACCAATCCTTTCATGTCGAACTCACCAGCTGATAGATTTTGTCCTATGGCATTGATTCTGAACTGAACTGACATTGACACTTTTATTGGTTAATTTTCCAACGTTAATGTTTAACGTTAATGTTAATGTTCCAATGTTTTTCCAACATGTTAGGCGTGGTAAAATTATTTCTCTGCTTAGTATTTCCGGCATTTGCACTCCAGCAGGAGATCTTAAACCAAGACTGTCCTTTGTATGCCGGAACGACCTTTTTCGTCAACACTTCTGGAGTAAACTCTCCTAATTGTGGGGCTTCATCGAAGCCCTGTTACAGCATATCCTACGCCGTCAATCTAGCGGTTAGAAAGAACGTTAGCTCGCTAACTGTTAATATTTCCACGGGAAAATACGAAGAGTTGGAAAGTATTAAACTGGACTGTGGAAGATGGAGCTTACGGAAAGTTACTTTTTGGGGAGAGCGGTTAGTGAACAGAGTAATATGGTTTTGTGTGTGTGTCCAATGGCTTTTTCACGTGATAACTTATCAACCGCTTTGTATTTTGATTTTCTCCAACTTTGCTTATAAAAAATGCTGCAATCTATTTTTCACCTTTGGTTTCCTCTAAAAGTTTTTTTGTAACTTTTTTTAAAATAGGGTTAATGAACAATTGGTCGAAGTTGACTATTCATTAGACGTGCTGCTCTGTGAAGTGAGCTTGATTGATCTTCACTGGCTAAATAGCAGGCCAGTGATTCACCAAGCCTCTATGTCAGATGTGGCGATCTGCCAGTGCACTGTAAAAGGAACAAATATAAGCATCACTGGTAGCTCATCCAACATTATTCTTAAGTACAGCAACATTTCAAGCAGTTCAGGTTACCATCCAAAGTTACCATTACTATCGATGGCAACTCTTTCAGGATTTCACAACTTCGTGCAGATTTTAAATTGCAACTTTGTGAAGAATGTTGGGCCTGTCCTTACTGTAGAAAACATTTATCAAACATCTATTGTTGACTCATATTTGGAAGGAAACAAAGTACTGGCAGGTGGTTCTATTATTACGGGACATGTTTCACATCTTAAACTCTCTGGAACAAAATTTATCAGAAATGTTGGACATTTGCTGTTTTTAGATGATAATCATTCCTTGGCCAGTTTAGAGGTGAGTATAGAGGTCACAGCAAGCTTTTCAAGTTATTTTAGCTCTGAATTTGGAGCAGTTAACCCTTCACAACCTAAGATGGTTCTCCATACTGTTTTTCTACACATTTCCTCACTCCTTTAACCCCCCCTGAATCAAACATTAAAATGTTTGATTCAGGGGGGGTTAAAGGAGTGATGAATCAAAAGATGTTGACACATTTCAATTTGTTTTATAGTATGACTAATAACTTTGTTTTTTTGTTGGTTATGAGGAATGTGATTTCAGCTGTAACATGGTCAATAAGAGTTTGTTTTTGTCACCTGTGCTGTTGCAAAACGTTCATCAAGTGTCCTGTGATGACTGCACTGTGGATGCAGACTGCCCAGGTAATATGTCTGGTTGAAGTTTCAAATTCTGAAGTATTTTTAAGTTTTAGGTTGAAATTACTTAATATATACCGGTAAGTCAAATCTGTGAGTTGTGTACTTAAAACCAATATGCTAGTGGTTGCTATATTGAATACATGTATGTATAGTATGGACTATTCTTCAGTTCAGGGAACCTTCACTTTCTGATTAAGGTCAGCTGGATAACTTCTTTCTGTAATGGAAGGTTTATCTTGTATCATTTTTATAAACAAGGCTTGCGTTTACTCTTGGCTCCCAGTTCAAAGATCTCCCTTCTTGCTGTCATTCACATTTCCATTTGAACTGGTTAGGGAAATTCAGTGAAATCTCAAGATTACACCCTCTAGCTTGTAAGTTTATGTGTTCTCATCAGCCTGGTCCCAGTTGTTTAAATGTTGGATAACACTATCCTCTGGATAAATTGCTATCTGGTGAATAGTGCAGTACATTTTGTAAACAGTTATCCACTGGATAGCAATTTATCTGTAGGGTTTAAACACATGTGACAAAGCTTGTTGGGAATATGACTAAAGACATTTTTTTCTTGGGTTTCAGTCCTCTGTGGACCAGGGGAGTTTCTGTCAAGTAACATTCTTTGCAGTCCTTGTCCAGTAGGAACTTACAGCTTAGGAACTGCGTCAAACAAAAGCATGCTACGATGCACAAGGTAAACTGTAATAATAAGGTAAACTGTATTATAGGTAGAAGCTGAAGGGAGGTTTCTTGTGAGATAAATGAAAATAGACAGTGGAAGAAAACTCTAAGCATTCATTTCACAATAAATGATTTTGAGTAGATGCAAGTATTAAGGTACATATGGATGTAGCCTGACCAGTCCAAATTTGTAATAGAGCCTGGAACTACCATGCAGGACATTAGGGGAGATTTCTTAGAAAGGTGGTTTATTAGAAAAGAGAGAAGGGCTTGTTGGACAGTGGGCTGTTATAGAGGGGGCATGTCTGAGAGGGGGCAAATCAGAGAGGGGGCATACTCAAGAGGAGGATTTTCTAACAGAAGGGTGGTGTTTTTTCGACAGTGGGCTTATCATTGAGGGAGCCTTGTTATAATGGAAGAGGGGTGGGCTTGTGGAGACAAGGGCTTCTTAGGGAGGGGATCTTTGACAGGAAAGCTCAAGATGGGGGGGGGCTAATTTAAGATGAGGACTTTTAAGAGAGGAGTCTTATTTATGAGGGCCAATGAATAGAGAGGGAGCTTATTACAGAGATGGGCTCATTAAAATGTGAGTGCTCTATATGGATTGTTAACAGACCCTTTGGTGTCTGTTTCCCTTATTAATACTCATCAGAGAAAATTTCACCAAACACATTGAAGTATTAAACTTAATTGCTTGTGATCTTGCAGCTGTCCAGCTGGAACATACAGTTCAAAGACAAGAAGTATGCAGTGCACACGTTGTGCAAAGGGTACCTTTGCATCAAAGACAGGGTTTGTATTATTATTATTATTATTATTATTATTTTTTTTTTTTTTTTTTTTTTTTTTTTTTTTTTTATTTTTTTTCTTGTTGTGGTTGATAAGATTCCAGTTTTCTAAAACAGGCACTTGTAAAGATGTTTCTTCCTTGGTTATAAACTCAGAGAACTCAACCTCAGTACACTGTGTAGCATGCGCCATTATTGAGTTTTAAGGATTAAGATTTGTGTAAGGAAGCAATGAAAACATTTCTGCGTGACATTACTGCAACTGACAGTTTAGTAGACCGTTTCCTATTCCCGAAATAGATTTAGGTCAAGTGCGCATTCCCTCTTGTAAAATTCCGCTTTATTTGTATGAAGATTATGGAATAAATATGCAGTATTTCTAGAGATCTTTATAGAGGTGTCTTATGTGCATGTGTTGAAATATGAAAGTTACCTCGTGATACTTTAACCCTTTAACCCCTATAAGTGATTAACATGTAACTTCTTGCTATAACATACACGCATTGTCCAACCAACATGTTATAAGAATACTCAAATTTATCAAGTAGCTGATTTAACATCAAATTCTCGTGACTTATTAACAAGAAAATGTATAGCAGTTAGATGGGAGAATTAACAATCAGATCTTGGGAGTTAAAGGGTCAAGAATGAATAGATATATTGACTTGTTTCAGGTCGACATCGTGCACCAAGTGTAAGAACGATTTTTTCACCTCAAAACCAGGTCAATCTTCATGTTCTTCAGGTAGGAAGTAATTTGATTTTATTAGTTTCTGGTTTTTCTATTTGGTCTCTCTTGTTTTGTCTCTTATGGCTAAGTACGACAACAGGGATAATTAAATATTGTGGCTAATAACACAATACAATGGCCTGATCAAGGCTCGAACCCAAATCTCTCTTCCTGGAGTCCTGCTCGCAGACCATTAGGGCTCTGTGGCCCTCCATAGTAGAACTCAGAAAGTTTTGTCTTTATTTTTGTTCTTTACTTTTTTTTTTTTCCTATCAGCGAGAATTGGTTTTATCGTGTTCACAGTGTTCGTGTCTCTTCTAATTGCCGGGCCCCTGCTGATTCTGATCTTGCAAAAGCGTTCAAGAGAGGAGAAGTGTTCCTTGTGTATTCCCCGCTCGCCGTCAAGGCAGAGATTGCGCGAAGATAAACAACCTAACATCTATGTTATACAAAATGAATAAGACACCGGAGACATTTATAAGGTTTTACGTATTACGCTCGTAAAATCGTGAAGTATGCTTCTTTTTTTCGCGTCACCGAGGAGAGCAAGTGCTTCTATCCTCAAAACTATTACCTGCGAAAGTAATCTTTTTTTTTCGTAATTATGTCGGAGCAAAAAGACACTTCTTTGCTTTCCGCCCTATAGGAGACTTTCCCACCAAAATTCTTCCGCATATAAAAAAAAGGGAAATAAAAATAAAGAGATTTAACTAATCAATAACTTAAAATACACGAATGTACTAGCCTGTGCTCACTATTGTCGCTTCGGCACAAACCTTTCTTCGCCCTTGGGAAATTAGGAGGCTTTAAGGAACGCGAGATAGCGATAGGTAAACCTCTCCCCGACTCGTTTTAAACCTTCCCGCGGGACGAAAACGCCTCCTCGCAGGCTATGAATGTACTCGATTTGCACTCAGTAGGTTCTCCATGAGTGATAAACAAGTGGCACCTGCACTCCACCTAACCGTGACGTGATCATCTATCCCATTAGAAATTTAATAAGCCAAAGTTGTAAAAGAACCCTCTGCATCGAAAAGTTTTGAAGTTTCTTGAAGTTTTATAGCCTATTAGCAACAGTATCTTTACCAACAATGCAGTCGCGTTTTTTTTCGAGTTTCGAGATAATAAATGCATTTCGTAACGGCAAAGAAGTTTTTTGACACCTCGAATAGTCTCAACTTAGCTAGTAAGTATGTAGTGTACAGGGGCGATTAAAGTATGTAAATAATCGTAATTTTTTGTCATCAGTGTTTTGGTATTTTTTTTGTTTTGTTTTAAGATATTAAGCTAAAGCACATTTTTGTAACGATTTTCTTTCTTCATTTTTTATTTTGAGGAAACAGAAATATACCATAACAGTTTCGAAAATTTCACTGCCTTGTCCCATTCTTGCGGCCACTTACTTTTCCAGGCAGAAAAGTTTGAAACTGGACTCTAAATTTCCCACTGATAGCGGAAGTGTTTCCCGGTAAAGTTCAGATTAGAAATTGTTTGGCATGAGATTTACCGTTCTCATGCCAAACTGTGGGTATAGGTAACTTCTATCTCCAACAACTGAGCAAAAACAGAGGTTCCCAACAGGCATGGATGCGTCGAAAGAGAAGGATTCCAAGCCCTTTGCCGCCAGTGCAAAACTCAACGTGCGATGAGTCGAACGCATGGATCTGTCATTGTGGTGAATTGATCTCGCAATGTATTTATTTCTGTAACAATAAGCCAGAGACAATCGATTCATTCTCTAAATCTCCTGGATCGTCTTTTTTCTAAGGGCGGACAACGTTATTTAACTAATAAATAGCTATCCAGCAGACGTGCTGGCTATCCACTTAGTACAGATTTATTCATCGGACGGCAATACTTACCCTTAGAGCGACTGGGGCCTGGAAAAGGGATCATAGGTGAGAAAGAGGCACTCACGATCGTCGAAGAAAGAACAACTTAGATTGAACAAATCGATCAAGGAAAGAGAAAAGGGGAAGCAGACATTCTGAATTCTGAACGACTACCTCTCCGTCTTTACAGACTCGCGTCTGTCGCGCTCTTGGTCTAAAGTTACTCCAACCACACCTTTCTCACGCCAAAACTTTTCATCGTCCGTAACACGAAATAAACACATCCACAAAATATTGAGTGAAAACTAGTTTATTTGCAATGGTACGTTCCTCTAAAAAATTTCTTCAGCTTAAAAAAAAAAACAGAGAGGGTAAAGACCTGGATAAGACTTGCTAGAATGACTGCCACGAAAAGAAATAGCTTACGAGCATGTCCTCATTATCAGTGCTCGAGAACGCGCGTTTCTCCACACGCAGGAAGATTTGAGACGAGTCTAGGAGAGGTGAGAGAGTCTGGGACTAATAACGGGACCCCCTGCAGACCTCTCATCGCTTCGCGTAGCTCAAAGCCCCATAATTCCTCTCGGGCAAAGGAAAGCTCGTACCAAAGTATTGATAATGAGCGTCTGTTCGTAGGCCAAAAAAAAAAAAAAAAATGATAAATAGGCTCGATCGTTCGGTATCATAAATCCTCAAGACTTTGACTAGATTCAAATAATTTTATTTGTTACTTCAACTACAGCTTATTTAATTCCGATACACTACGCTTATACAGCAGAGAACAAATCATCTAAAGCAAGGAACTTCTTAGCGGTACTCTTCACTTGTTTCGGCTTAGTCTTTTTAAGGTCCATGACGGATTTAGCCGTGATGGGTGGATTGACCTTCCTGTACAACCCAGCGTCCGATACCACCACCACCACCTGGAAAATCAATTGATTAGATATGAATAATTCTATCTTCCACATCATCGAGAGAGAACCACATCAATCGCCGCATAATGATACTTGTGAATGACCCCTAAAGTAAAGTATCTTTTTCTTACTGACAGTATCGTTGCTGAATCAAAGGTCAAAAGGAATTATCACCATCTAGAGAAGCTTTTGATGGGTGAAAAAATTCTCCTTGTCAGCACTCTTAGAAACTGTATAGCGTACTGTATGGAGAATATAGAGACCTATGTTAGGGTACGAAGGGTTTATGATCGCGAGGAAAAGTGAAGTTAGTTAAAATAAATCCTAAAAATCACTTATTTTAGATCCACTTCCGCCCATTTCGAAGTTATCCAAAATTGTTTTCTAGGTTGTCTTTTATCTCACTCTGTTCCTGAATGCGTACTTAGCAGTAGTGGCCGGTTCTAAATACTGTTCGAAAACTTTAAATTCCTGTTAAAATACATTTTGTAATGCCGCTTTCATCTTAAAGAGCCTGATCTCTGGTTCTCTGGAAAGCTCTTATCTTTCCGATCCCGCGGGTTGCGATACCTCATCCCGTACCGTACCCTAAACTCTTATCCCGTACGTTTCTTTGAACCCTAAACCCATCTGCCATAAGATAAGGTTTTTTACCAGAGCGTATAATATGACCAAAAGCTTGGGTGGACCGATATTTTACTGAGCTTCACTAAGCAGTTCTCACGGCATGGTTTGCAAAGGACTTTGTTTGCTTACCACCACCAGTTCCAAAAGCACATTTTACAGGATCCCCTCCGGATACGGAAATTTTAGTCTTCGGATCTCCGATGAGTTTCTTGGTAAAGATGACAACACTGCCCCCAGCTCCACTTCCCCCAGGGGCTGATCTGTGACCTTTCCGATTGAGACATTGTCCAGAGTTTCCTGCGTAAAAAGTAAAGTATTAGCTCCATAAAACAGCCAGGCCGCAGATTTACAACGTGGAACAATTTCTCATTTTTAGTTCTGACCTCCACTGCTTCCTTTTACATTCTACGGGCGTTTGCGGCTCAGAGGGTGTAGTTTTTGACCAATAGACTCTATTATCTTGTTTGTTACTCATTTAAGTCTGAAAAGGGGATCGCTTTTTATTATTTAGGTCTGGAATAAGGTATGGTTTGAACATTATCGAAAAACTTGGTCTTTCAACAACATTTCTCTGAGAAGAAGGATTCTAAGTTTACCCATTAAATTCCCAAGATCTGGTTTTTAATTCTTCCCTCTATCTACGTCAAATTTATATGTAAGAAAGTTGTAAGAATTTAGTGTTAAATAAAACAATATTCTCATTACCTGTCTTCTGGATAATGTATGAACAATACATGGAGAAGTTACTTGTCAATCACTTCTGGGAGCTAAAGGGTTGAGACTTTGGGAGGGAGGAGTGGGTTTTATGCTTTTCTGGTTCATACCTTTTACACTGATGGTCCCTTGTAGTACCAGTTTCCCAACCTGTAAATACACCAGTCCTCCTCCACTTCCTCCTTTCCCTCCAGGGTTGGGGTCATCACTGAACGCACTTGCTCCTCCCCCTCCACCTCCCCCTCCGTAACTCAGGTGAGTCGTGAAGTTGGTATTGCCAAATTGGAGTCCGCCTGAATATAAACAAAAAAATAGTGGCCCCCGTGGACCCTGAAGGTGTCATTAATGCTCCCAAGGCAGTTGCATATGTGTTATCTATTTTTTTTATCTATACAGAGAACGAATTTCTCCAGAACACCTAAGTTTGCGGTGGGTAAGAGATTCATTCATAGAAGTCTCCTTGCTTGAAAACATTGAAATTTGTCATAAAACCTCGTCATTTCAGTCCATGAAAGATCTAAGACGTTGACGTAAATATAAAAGATCGTAAATAGTCCACTTTGGCAACAAACCAAAGATCGTTCAATTTGGAAGAGAAATAATACCAGAAATCATTTAGGTTTTGTCTCCGCCGCTAAACTACAAGATCGACTGCATTTTGAGAATCTAAACCTTTCAAAGATTGTCTTTAACTGTGCTGAAAGTCCGGCCAAGAGTTATGAAAGTTGTATGTTATCTGGAGCATACCTCCCTTTCAATGGTTAAGATAATCCGAAATTGCGACGGTTTCAAATGGTTTCCTTCACCTCGCTCTTTAATTGGTCTACAAAACTCGTGCCATTCTCTCAGCCAATCAGATGCACAACTAAAACCAATTGCAATTTGATCATGGGTGTTGTTATTGTTGTTACGATCGAACGCTGTTGTTGCTTTTGCTTTTGTTTTACAGCGCTCAATCGAAATGTTACTTATGGATGCTTGAGCCCAAATCCCTAGTCACATTCGACCTCAAATTCAACATCTAACCAATAGAGCTGACTGAAGTATCTTGGCTTCGATCACGTTGAGGAAAAACACAAAAAGAATTGTTTACTGACCTCCTCCACCACCTCCACCGTAATGATTGCCACAAGAATCACCTTAAAATCGAATAAAAAAAATACCAATATCATCCATTACCTTGATTACAGTATAACGATTTAAGCTATAAATAGCATTAGTTTCAAGTAAACCTTCGTCATCTCTTAAAAGGCTTTCCAGTGTAATGGACTACACAGTATAAGTAACATGACCTAAAAATTACCTCCTCCACCTCCAGAGCTAGATGAGCCTGCGTTACCACCTGATGCTGACTTGTCGTAGCAGTGGGGAGCCTGATTAGGAGGCCATTCCCTGCACTTCCTCCATTGCCACCATGTCCTCCTGGGCAAGACGACTGACCCCACCCCCAGCATGGGTACCAATCTGAATGAAAATGGTGGAAGAAAGCCTTTAATAAGCTTGTCTTTACAATGGATAGAGAACTCAGTTTCAGTTTCTTGTCAGTAAAATTGGACGCACCCAGTAGGTAGATGGAGGCTGAAGTAACAAAACGAATATTTGCGTCTTCTCAGACGGTCGCAATGGTAACCTAAGCTCTCTCTTCACACGTTTTTACTCCGACCAATTTATATAAGAATTAATGACTTACGTTTCCAGCTGATCCTCCCTTTCCTCCATCTTTACCACCACACCCACTGCCTCCTCCCCCTCCCCCGCCACCGGAGAAATGTCACCCCCCCTCCCCACCGGCCGCACCATCGTCACGGTTGACAGTTGAGTCTCCTCCTCCGCCGCCGGCATTAGTTCCTCCGGGACCTCCTTTAGAACCTACCGGAAAGTTTTTGTTACAAGGTTAAGAAAAACTGTTCCACTCATCATGTGAACTTAATAAAATGACCTTTTTTCGCCAACAAGTTCTTGTTAATTTAGTTAGCTGACTTTCCTGAGCCGAAAACGGCTAGCGTTATGATACCATCAGAAACTTAAGTTTCCTTTTCCATCCAATTACTACAGACTACAAAAGTTTTAAGAAAAACCCACATTCATTGTCGTTTATCGAATAGAACGTTTTCTATACATAATTTCCAAATCTAATTTCACGATTCTATCCGAGTTGATTCGACATGAAACTAGTTGTCCTTTCCAGCTATCCAGCTTCTTCATCTCTCGTCATTGGACACTTGTCTGTTTTTTTTTTGGTATTTTGGGCGTCCAGTGATTCAATCGACCTTTCTGCTGTTTCCTTACTGTTGACTTGAATTTAGACCATACCATCGATCATTTCACGCAGTTTAAAATTTATTTACAGTAATTTGCACCTTCTAGCGCGTAAGACAGTTAAGGTAATTTCGTTTAAATTCCAACTGGTTTCTAGAGGCATTATCCTCGCTCTGATTAGACCTTGAAATACCTTATGCATGTATACTAACCTACTCTTGTCTGTGGCCCGTCCCCAGCCCCTCCACCGCCAATTCCGTCGGTGTTCTTTGCCCAGGGTACATTGGAAATGTCTCCTCCTTTTCCTAGTAACGCGTTTGCCGGACAGTCGAACGTTTCGCCTCCGTACCCTCCACCCCCACGGGAATCACCTCCAACGCCGCCTGTAAATCCTGAAAATCAACGACACCGCTAAGAAGTACACAATAGCAACACTTTGTTCGCAGGTGAGTGCGCCACCCTTCTGCTCCTCCTCCCATTCGATCCTGTTCCCTCACGGCCTGAATACGACATGTAGAAGATATGATATAGGCACAAACAAGGAAACAAGCTGTCTAGGTACAGGTGGAGCCAGAGGGTTCGAAGGATTGTTAGAGCCAGGATCATAGTAGTAATTATAATTATTTTACCAGGAAAAAATGTTTTAGTTGGGACGTTTAGTTTTGGGCAAACACCATAAAATTTGTAGCTCTTTAGGCAAACTGAAGGTGGACAGATTTAGACATACCCTCATTTTCTTAGAGCTTTTGTTACTTTTTTTACTACTCTATAATCATACTCTCTATGAATTTAAACTCAATTGTAGACTACCAACAGCATACCGCAATGGCCGTTCAGGATCAAATTGAAAATCAATCTTTTGTTGTGAAAATTTTGAAAAATTATGTCCTAGTCTGTTTAATTATAGAAGAAAACTCGCGAATAATTCATTCACAAATCAGAGCCAATATAATTCCTGTTTCATCTTAAGACATAAACAGAGGTGTGAGAAGTTCTAAAAATCTTCGTACCTTTTCCAGTCATATCTATTTTGGAAGTACTATCGATCACCAGGTTGGCAGCCTCAAAGGCCAGAATTCCTCCCAGGCCATCTTTCTGTTCATCACATGTCAGGACACATTTGTTACGTAAAGATACTTTGTCAAATGATGGAAGCCTTTGAGCGATCAAACATGTTAGATGGTCCTTTTCAAGATCCATCGTAATGGGTTTGTCAAAGACAACTCGGCATTGTAATCTGTAATCATACAAATAGAAAGCATTGATTAACGGATTGATATGGCAAATTACTAGTTTACCTATTGATTTGGTGATTTATACACGGACTAAAGAATGGATGGGTTGGCGAATAAATGAAAACATGAATTCAAGGGTATTTTTATAGCTACAACCGTTTGGTCAGTTAGTAAGTTATTTTGTCATGAATTCATTCAGTCAGTTACTCGGTTATTCTATCTTTCAGTCAGTTGGTCGATCAGTCAGTCAGTTAGTTGGTTAGTCACTCTGATGGTCAGTCAGTCAGTTAATCATTTTTTTATTCAATAAGTTAGTCAGTTCTTCTCTCATTCAGTCGGTTATTCAGCCGGTCAGTTAGTCAGGTGGTCAATCAGTCTTCAGTCAATCACTCAGTCGGCTAGTCGTCAGTCAGTCAGTCAGTCGGCTAGTCAGTCAGTCGGTCAGTCAGTCAGTCGGTCAGTCAGTCAGTCGGTCAGTCAGTCAGTTAGTCAGTCAGTCTGTTGGTCAGCTGGTCTGTCAGTCAGTCAGTCAGTTGGACAGTCGTCGGTCAGTAGGTTGGTCAGTCAGTCAGTAGGTTGATCAGTCAGTTAGTCAGTTAGTCGATGAGACAGTCCGCCAGCTAGTCATCCAGTCATCCAATGGTCAGTTTGTCCACATTACTTTGTTAGAAGCCAAAATCCGTTCGAGAAATGTATTAGACACTTAAAACGTTTGAGTGTAAATTATTTGCAATCAAAATTTACTGAGTCTATGTTGAAAAAAATGTTTGCTATATATATAGATATGTAATTCTCTAAAAAGAGTTGGGCCACAAGTTTCCTCTAATTTTCATTCTTACTTTTCGTCTCCAGCTATTGGTGTGACGTCTTGTGCTGTGATCACTTCATATTTGCCATAATTGATCAGTTTTCCTTTGCTAACAAATAGTAAGAGTTTGTCTCCAGCCTGCAGGCCGTCACATGAATACAAATCCATGGTGTCTTGAGTGATAACGGCAACTTTCCACGACTTCGAGTGATTAGTCTGACACAAGTTGACCGTTTGTCCATCGCACACAAAGCCATTTACTATGTTGTAAACAAAAAGATTATTCAGGGAAAACTTCATCCCGCCATGAGATACGAGAAGTAGAATCTACCCAAGTAGGAGGTGTAACATATCTGAGATCTAGTCCTATGTGAATTGCCGGATAGATTCCAAAATATGTCCCACACTTTTCCGTAGACCCATCTATTGTCTTCTCATAAAATATCATGCCACAACTCCCTACTATTGTCACCCAATTCCCGCGGGAAAAAACAGCTTTGTGTATTTTTCACATCTCTCAGTTTGCTTGCCTAAGTAGTCGTGCTAACTTTACCCAGTCCCTCTCCGTCATGACCAAAGTCGAGTAGACAGTGAAAATAACTTACTCTCAACATCAGTGCAATCTGAACATCCTAGGACTCCCTACAGACAAAGAAATAGATGTTTTCTCGTTTAGTTTGCGAAAAAGTGTGCACAATATGTGTATGCGTACTTCTAAATTTACAACTATCCTGTGAGCAGTAACCGGCATTTCTTAGCTCTCGGGAAATCATGAGGAGGCCCTGAGCTACACACACCGACGAGAAGTCTGCAAGGGTCTAGTACTGAAAATGAGTTAGGGCCAGACTCCCGGCAAACTTCTCTCCGACTTGTTTCAAATCTTTCCGCTGGCGAAGAAACGTGCATCATTCAGCGCTGATCGATAATTGATTATAATTAATTAACATACAACAGTTACAAAATTACAACAGTGGACATGTGTTTCACCGTCAACTGCACTTGTGCACTTAACAAGATTTACCTTTCCGTTTGGTCAGTATCTTTGTACGTGTTTAGTACTATTTTCTGCATTGCAACTTTCCAAAGGTGAGGGAGATTTAAGCCGTCAACGTCTTTTATTCCTGTTTATCCTTTAACCCCTGGTGGGGATCAATACATAAGTTCTTCTCACAGTTTTATAGGTATCTGAGAAGGCGGGCGCTCACATTGGTCGGCTAGCATGATTAGATAAAAGTACGTAAACACTGCTGTTACCCGCCAAATTTCTGTGCAAGCTCAAGTTTCTTGAGTCACCTTTTTCCTAATTGATCTACTTAAAACTGCCATACCAACATGACGAAATACTGACCGAATGGATGAAACATGCCAACCATAAAAACAACAGCGGCAGCAAATGAAGTTTATGGATCATCTCTCCGTCGGCAGAAGTGCAGACTACAATACAACTGGCTTCTATTTGCTTTCAGCCCTACGCGATGAATAAGCAAAAGTTCAACAATCTAATAAATGAGTCAAAGGACTGCAGCGCATGGGGTGATTCTTAGGTCAAAATCTCCGAGAACAGTTTCTTTTAAGGAGACAAGGCCTTTAAAAAAGGTATCTGGGACTTGAGAAGTGAGACAGCTAAAGGCGAGATCGTGAGAACGTTCTTAAGAGAGTGTCTCTGTAAGAGCGGTCCGGTCGATTTTGCTTGAGACACGGATTTCACTCATTTCTTGTGTGTTGTAAGACATTCATGTACCTATACTAAAACCACAATCCGTTTGATCGGATCTCTTTATTTTTCAGAGTTTTACAGAAATTAAATTTCACTCGATCGAAGGCTTGTCGTGACACTTTTCAAGACTTTAATTTATGACAACTTTGAAGGACAATTTACAAAAAACTACGGAGCTTAGCAAAAAAATAAATACCAAAGCCATGTATATTAACTCTATCTTATTCATCGAGGTGACTTTCGTGAACATCACGTTTCAATCAAGGAAACAGGAAGACTTGAATGACACCTTATCCGTTCGCTTAAGTCACACATGCCAAAACCGATCAAATTCAATGTAAATTTTTGAAAAAGTGAGGCGCTCTTAACTGATCCAACTAACATAGCTAGGAAGTAGGTGCTATAGAAAAGGTAACTATAGAAAAAAACTTTGCGGCCCGACCTTTACGAAAACTTTATAACTCCGTGAACTTACCTAATTTTCGGCAATCTCCAAGTTTAGCCGCCATTTTGAGGATTTTTCAACATGAAGCGTAACTGATATAAATCAAGCAGGTAGATCTAAAACCGTCAGAAATACATACGAAAGCAATTCAAATGAACTTCACTTTCAATTCTAGCGGCAAAATTTGAAATTTTTCGTTAAACTTACCATTCCTACATCCCCATGCGACCAATTCTTCCAACAATTAATACACTACAACTAGTGTTCGAATTCCCCTCGTCGATTCCATCGTAAGAAATAACCTGTGCCACTCAAGCTTCGACTAGAATGTGAAGTACGAATCAAATAACATAACTGCTTCATCTTGGAGGCAATATC